TCACTATTCCACGACAAGGTAAGCTTTGGAGCCATGGTTTGGAATAGATTGCATTTCCCAGCCTTTTTTGCCGCGCTCTGCAGGCTTGACCCTCTCTCAACAGGCTGAGCGGCAAAGCCCTGGCTCTCTCTCCCTTGGCACGGTTCGGCTGCCAAGGTAATTGGTGGTTTGCCAATACGGTATTGGTATACCTAACTGCTATGCCTAACCCGCCGCTTCGGCCTGGGAAATCAGCTCGCTCGGGCCTGCCGCTGTTCAAGTGTGCTCTCACACACACTCTTTGTCTGTCTGTCTGTCTGTCTGTCTGTCTCTTGCTTTGGTGTATAATGTATGCAATGGCCAAGCACATCTACGGCTGCCCCTGTCCATAGCTCGAACGGACCTGATAAGTTGGATTGTCCTCAACCTGGGCAAGTTGAATTGTCCGCTCGGCCCACGCAAAATCAAGGTGGGCGGAATATCACACTGTCGTCACTGTGGCCACCAAGGTTAGCTGTGAGCAATGACTAGGCATAGATACAAGACTCGTGCGAGTACGGTAAGCAGCATCAAGCACGATCAGCACAGCTACTCCAGCCGGAATACTACCTACATTCTCCTCCGTACGAACATGGCGGATAAAATGTCCGCCCCATGTGTTATGTTAACATCGGTGCTTGGCCCGTGCTCTATCATCCTCATGTTTCAGCTTTTCCATCGGTACCGCTTGCATCGCGAGGAACCCCTTCTGGACCCCGGCCGAGAGAGAGAAAGAGAGAGGCACCAACTTCCATCTGTCTGGTTTGGTCCCTTTGCGAGCAGGTGGCGCCCGGTTCTGCTTCCTCTGAACGCGCCAAAACAGCGGAGGATCTATCCAATGGGCACACCGGCCTAGAGCACCCGTCAATCAGCGTTCACTGCCATCTTGGAGCTGTACGACTTGATCACCAATGCGTCTGCTCTCGCTTTGACTCCTTCTGTTTGCCCAAGTGGATGGGCAAGTCTGAAACCTTGACAGATGGATTTCGTCGTTACAGAACGAGTCATCCGTATCTACTGACGCGGCCTGGGATCTGATCGTATTCTCTGCTTGTTCATCCCACCAGAAAGGGTCTAGGCAGGGAACAATGTGCCTCTGCCCCCAATCTACCGCGGGCTATACACTCTTGTTGTACAGTCTTTCGGTGCCTAGTCCGGAACGAAGTACTCTACTGATCGAGGATACACAAGACCTCCGATATTGTGGATGTTCGTGGCGAGAAGATCTAGCAAAGATCCAGCTCGTGTCGGTTTGTTGGGCCTTGGCAAGCAAAAATACGCTTACCTCAAATCCGGCTTTGTCATTTGAAGGGTCCTTTCTAAGAATTGAAAGGTTCCTATGTCGTCGGCCTCTTACAGCTTTCATCCGAAAGCTCGTGCCCCATCCTGGCCCAGATCTGCTCACTAGAGTCCAAGCTGGCCGAGCATGGTATGTCCCTCTCCGGAAGATATACCGGCTGACCCACAGCGAGCGACAAGGGATCGTCTTCTGAAACACCTACGGCTCTTGCTGGTGGGCTCCATGGGACTTTTCTTTTCAGTTCATGCCATCATTGTAGGGATCCTGCTTGCTTACCCATCGCCGCGGCATAAACTCAAACAGTCTGTTCAGGGAAAGGCCGTTGGATAGCTCGCTTTTTTCAGCAGTGGTGGTCCCGAGGAAAGCAGGGCTAAGTATAGTATGACGCGCTCCACTGCTGGAGAGCAGAGTCAGTCGCTTGGCTCATGATCGACTGTGACTTGCAAGGGCGTCCCAGGCAAGCTGCCAGGCTGGTGATGTTTTTTTGGGAACATCTTTGCCGACTCGGGATGCTCCCCCTAGTCATGATCCAGAATCTAGAAGCACTCGGCGGCAAGGGAGCTCTCAGTTTGCGTGGACCTTGTCCTGGGCGGTAAAATATTCTTGTACACACACCGGAGGTGTTGTTCAGAAAGTGGGAAGAGCTGTCGAGCCAGTTTAGAGCCAGTCGAAGCTGTGGCGAGCCGATTGACTGCTGAGCTCTTGACTTGGTGCAGAGTGACAGCATCTGTTCTGCTAGGCGTGGTGTCGATGCTATCGCCACTTCATGCTTTCCTGGTCTGCTTTTGTCTGAATATATGGGAACAAACAGGCCCTTCATGATTAGCCGCGGATAGTTTACTGGAGATGTCTTGTGTCTGTTTGACTATAGATTATGTAGTCATGTGGCGAAATCTTGGCTGAACGGTAAATGGTTCATGCTGACGAGCCACTTTTGATGTGGGAGGGATATGTAGAGTTCAACAGCCAAGAAGCAGCATCTAGACATATCTAGACGATATTCCGTGAATTACTTTCAGTGGCCTGTCTGTCTTGACATGACTTTCTAAACTATAGTCTAGTGCTTCTTTATACCAAGACCAAACGTGATATACATTCTACGCATTGGAACGAAGCCATGTCCTTGTTTGGGATCAGACAATAACATAAATACCCAATGTCGAGTGACTTCTGGTTACGGGATGAAATGTATGCTTGTCTGGCGCCTCGTATAACAATCTCGTGTGCTGTATTATCTTGATTTACATTCGAGACAGATAGTAATGACGTGTCAGCCGCAGTCAGCGTAGCAAAAGAGCTACACAGGCGCAGAAACTTTACTTCAGAGGAACATGATACTACTTGAACGATTGAAAGGAACCCAAGAGGCCTGAAACAAAACTAGTCAAGTGCACGTATAGACTTTTTAGCATAATCATCTCACATGCCCAAATATGTGTTCTACGCTGAGACCAGCAAACGATTTTATATCAAGAGACGCAATGCATATTCCTGGTCATGCTCATATAATTCATCACGGCCCTGTCACAGGCCGCTGAAGTTTGAACTTTGTCAACTTGATCTACATGAACGAGGGGATATATTTATATACTGAGAAGCAGAAATACATTGAAAATTAATTACACGCGTTTATTCTCCCTTGAAAAATATGGAACAATTTGCACCAAGGTTTCCTGGCTGGTGTCATCATCTCATAGGTCAGCAGCAGCGTCGAGCAAAGTTCATGTGCCTGTACTGATTAGGAGCACAGGCAAGAGGATATTGTGAAGCTGCCTCGTGCTGAAGATTATTTCCGTTTATATCGATATTATTGTCCCAAATAGTCAAGTGTATTAGAGCTCCCCTGGCCTCTCACCCCCCTTTCATTCTTGGGAGCTTTCACTATTGATGTGCAGAAAACCTTGAACCTTCAGAACGTGACTCCATTTAGGTGTCGACGATATCTTCTTCTGTTATCAGATCCGCCAAAGGGGGAGAAATGACACTATTGGTGAAGGAAGCTCGCCTTCCGCTACCCATTTTTTTTTCAATCTGGTGACCCTTGAAGCCGAACTTGCTGTTTTCCCTCCATGCTTCACCCCCCTCCCTAGTTGATGGCAAGTACAGCCATCCGCCCTTTGCGGGAATCATCCGTGATTGTTTTCTTACGTGAATGTTAAATCAAATCAAATGAGCCCGAGGACAAGGCTGAAACTAAATTTTTTTTTAAACCAGTAACTGCCGTTTGGTTTTGTCAATTTTGGTTTACCCATATCAGAAAGTGTCCCTTGAGCAACAAGGCATCGTTGATAGCTAGCGAGATATGACAGCATAATTTCGAACAAGACAAACTCTGAGAAAGACTCTCAGTATCCGGGCATAGAGAAAAAGAAGAAAAAGGCCAAGCACATCCGGCGTGTCGAGAACGCTCCCAAAAGGTCGGAATACCAGTTGTCCCCATGAGGCTTTTTCTTATTGTTGAAAGCCAAGATTGATACTTGAACCACTCGACCAGCACGACGCAGCATTGATGAAAAGGTTATTGTTAACGAGACGAATAACTTGTATCTATACAGGTTCTGTGTTCCTTTGTTTGCTGCTACCACTCCATCACCAACTGCCCAAACAGACAGGGTTGGCTCAAAACATCCACGCGCTTGATATTTATCTAATCAGATCTTATCCAGCTGAGTACCTCAGCAAGGTTAAAAAGGCTGACCCATATGAGTCCGTACCATTTGAAAGCCTTCAGGATAGTGCTGGGCTGCTTCTCAGCTATGGGAACAAAATTCAAGTCATACGTGACAGTTTATCTATCGAGTGCCGACGTAGACTGGCATATATTGCAACGAGAGTAGTAGGTAACTACATCAAGAATCGTTTCCAGACACCTGGAACTCGGCATGAGATATTATCAAGTCCCAAAGACTACCAATCAAACGCCAAATATGACCAAGTACACCTGCCCCGTGTGCGGCGAAATTATTGTTCGTGAGGCTGTATGCCGCTTCACGCAGGACGTGGCGCTGTAATGAGCATATATTGATGAGCCAAACCAGAGAAAGTAAACTATAAAACAGATGTCGACTGATGACAGCGCCTTCAACCAGATCCGCTAATGGTCATCCGTATAACCGAGCCCCCCAAAGGACAGGGACAAAAACTCCGAAAACCCCATGCAGCCTTCTCTTGAACCGTTTCCTGATGCTCCTCGGTTATGTCAAGCGTTCCACGCATCGCCGCTAACATCCAGCGAAGAGGGTGGCACACGTGCTCTCCATCATTCATGCCGTGTCACAAATATCTCCTTACCATTTCGCCCAAGTCCCTAAATCCAGAATTGTCGATTTCCAAAGCTGCCGCCGCCGTCCTGTGGTCTCCGATAACGCAGCCTCTCGCCCCTCTATAGCTGACGCCGGCGCTACCGCAAGACTTTGAGATGATTCCCACCGGAAGAATTACCTCTTAAAATGAACCAAGTCCCCGGACACAGAGTGACGACGGCGAAGGAGCTACCGATTCTCAAGCAATGGAAAACCCATGTCTCGCTCAACATCTTTAGGTGGAATATATATCGAGCTATCCCATTGGGTAGCCCTCGCCGTATACTCCTCCTCTTGTCCGGGTATGTCTGCTGCTGCTGCTGCTGCTGCTCTTGCTTTTGTTCTTGCTCTTCTCGGCCTTCGCCCCCATCGTCCGACGACTAGCTGACGTTGCACAGAAGCTCGGCCTCGAGGATGAACTTGCCTTCCTTGTACTTTTCCGAGCTCTCGTAGGCCTTGTCGTACTTCCATCCGACCGTGTCGTGGCATTGCTTGCAGCTGATGTCGCGGACAATGTGCCGGCCAGTCGTCATGCTCCGCTCCGATGGTTCCCCTTGCTCGATATTGACCACGCTGTTGAAGAGGTAGGCTTTGCCGTGCTGGCCGCGGAAATTCTGTTTTCCAGAAACAAGAGGGAGGGCATGTCAGCCAAAGAAAGATGTTCTATCATCGAGTAAGGAGGGCGAGGGGAAAGGACACCAGCTGGCGGGATGGCTAGCGGCGGGCTCGGGAGGGAAGGGGATTGTCCAAGCATAGGTATTTAGAAGGACTGATTGACTTACCCGCGATATTATCTCATCGTGATTTGCTAAGTGCGCTTTGCAGGTCTTGCACCCATAGATCTTGTTGCTATCAAGATAAGTATTGTAGGCGAGACCCATGTTTGCCTTGTGGTTGGTTGCCCGGCCTGCCCAGTGCTACGAAAGCTTGCGTACGGGGTCTATCTTCTTGGCCACGTCCTGTCCTTCAGGTGGTAGAAGGCGAATTTGAGGTACAAGGCGCCTGGAGAAAATCGCAGCCCTTTGGTACTTATATGTGGTTGGGTGAAGAAAAAGAGGACGGAATACCTTCAAGATCGTTGCTTGCAGTAAAGATGATGATGTATTATGGAGTCTGGGGGGGACACCGAGAGTCAGCCGATCTCCTTGACGTGAGCTAATGTAGTGTAGTGCAGCACAGTGGAGGAGGGGACGGGGGGCCTTGGGCGGGGCAGCACCTGCCAGCCTTTTTACATGGTGTAGGTAATGTGGTAGTAAATATAGAGGTAGTAGATATGGTAATAAGTGGTAGTAGATAATGCACCTTGTCGAAAATCTATACCTTGTTTGGGAGAGAATACGGTGATTCGTACGAAAAGCTCTGGTAGCCTTGCAGAAGGCCTGCAACTGCGCTCTTAATTGTTGGGCGCCTCGAAAAGAATGCCAGATGCCTACAATCTGCATGCGTTTTATATATAAACTCAACCCCAATATCATCATATGCTTACATTACGCTCAATCTGATATAAAACGCAGTCATTGTTCAACATATTCTACACGATTAATTTTCAAGTAAAACATACATTTATTTTAATTTACAGTGGAAGGAAAAGGGCAATATCTCAAGGATTTCTATGCTGCTCATTCGCGGCCCATGCAAGTGGAGGTGTACATGTGCATAGCTTCCATCCACCAAATGGTGACTTGACTGCAAAAGTTAGTCGAGATCTTCGCATGTACATGCCACGTGCAAGTATGTGTCGTACGCAGTTATGTGGCTCTGACTCCCTAATTTGTGCTTCACATGTGCAGTCCGGAACTAAAAGGCTGCCTGTACACACCAGCTGTAAAGTCGCAGTGCCATGTAACCCCTCATGAGGCAAGATTACAGCGAGGCTGTCATTTCATAGCAGGTCTGGGTGCATATTTCAAGCACTTGATTCAAGGTGTATATGGTCTTACCGATGGTAGTTTTAAAGTTGTGTGTAGCTGCTCCCAATGGGGCCATTGAAGTTTAGAGCAATTCGTGAGACTATGGAAGTGACATGGCCGCAAGCCAGCCACGTCCAATTCATGCCACTGTCGTCCAATTCATGCCACTGTAAGCCAACCGTGTTTCATCCACGAGATGGCTTGCTGCCAAAGAGGATACGGAAACAAAAGTATGTCTCGAAACGAAACAACGACAGCCCCATGGGGCAGGCTAATTCACGGGAGCTTTTCTAGTGCAAACGTAGCTTCTATGCGAGTGAACTTTCATTCAGATCATATTGTTTTACATACTCTCTACTTTGGGAGCACCTTTTCTAATATCGTAGTACTGTAGCCCACATAGCCTAGGCCCCCCATCTATGCCGTGCCATGCAAATCTTGCCCGCTTCCATATACAATGGATACGTAACTACTCGCCCGTCCTCTTTCGATCAGCCGATTGGGCAAATTATGCACAAGAAGAATAGAACGCAAAAGAAGAAGAAAAAAGACAACGCGATCCGCACTGTAGCGAGAGGAGCCGTCGGTCTGAAGAGGATGTAATATGTACTCGGGAGTGACAGTGAAAGCTGTATGTAGCTGAAGTGGGTTTTGGTGTATCGGCATTGTGGATTTACCACGTGAAGGCTTCATCGACAAAGTCGATCGCGCCGTTGTATTGCCGTCGGCGGACAGCGTCACGAACTTCATCACTCAATGCACCGGGACCGCACACGGTGACGCCCATGTGGCCGACCTGGTTCTCCATTTCAATGCCCAAAAGCGTATCAATGTTGGGTCTGCCCGGGAACATCTGTACTGTCGCAGAAGGGCTGTGAATTTCCTTGGTCGAACGTGGCCGAGACACGAACAGCATGATTCGCAAAATGTCCCGTCGCTTCTCCATGGCGAGGATCTCGGTCATCCAAGGCCGGATCCACTCCAAATGCTCGGGGCTCTGGATGATCCAGACCAGCACAATCTTTCTTGTCGCAACGGTGCCATTCGCGTAACCAGCAACGAGATCTCGGACGTGGGGAACTTGATGAGTGATGCCCACACCGCCAGCAAACAGCATCACTGTTCCGTAGGAATGCATCATGTGCAAACCGCCGTAGGGACCCTCAACGAAGCACGTCGTCAGAAGTCGGCCCTCAGGCTGAGCCGCAGCACGGTCGTACAGGTTTTTAGTCATACCCGTACGCGCACGAATGACAAAGGACATGGACGTTTTTCGCATGGCCAAGACATCTTGGCGGTTCATGGCAAGCTTCTCGGAATCAAGGCTCTCGGCTTCCTCGCTCCAGGCCACAGAAAACGGATGAGACTGCCACAGGCTGATGGCGGGCATGTATAGGTAAGCATGCTGCCCAGGTTTGAAGGTCCAGGGGCGGGCCATGGTGACTGTCACACGGCATGCATCTCCGGGAAGCGCCTCCACGAGGGTCGATGTCCCACCGTTGCCAAAGTTGTTGTACGCAATGCGGATGAAACGAAGGGCTCTGTCGATCACCCAGATCGGGACAACGGCAACCAACCACTTCATCTGAGGGAGATCCTTGAGGCCCAAATGATACCACAGTCCGGCAATCGACAGGGCAGCCATGCCAATGTGCAAGATCTTGAAGCTCTCATAGAAAGCGTGCCTCGAGATGCTAGAGGCCTGGAAGAAGATAACGACGAAGGCAGCAGTTGCAACGAATCCCCACATGAGGAATGGGACCTTGAAGAGGGTCATAAAGGCGGTTCCCCATCCGTTCGTCTGGGCAGATACGGCAAGGTAGGCGAGAGTATGGCATACAGCCTCCAGAACGACGATACGACCAAACCAACGGTGCATGAGATTGAAAGTGTCGAAGGAAATACCCAGCCAATTAATCAGGGGATTGTTCCTACCGGCCATGATGAAGAGCGGAATCTGCAAACATGTTAGTTGTTGTGTGTACCGCCACGTGATTGCGTTCTTACCATGTTGACGACCGCTAGAGTACCGCTGCGGTTTCTCAGTTGCTTTCCACCATCGGTGAAACTTTCAAAGGGAATATGGACCACGCAGAAGGCAACATTGGTTGCCAGATATCCAACCAGGAAGAAAAGCTGGAATCGAGTGGGCAGTGTGCCCATGTTGACAGCTGAGCTCAATTGGAACTCGCGGTTGCGTCGTTTGCTGAAAATTGGCGAGTACAGAATGTTTTTCTTGACCCATGCGACCTTTCCAGAGACGTATGCGAAGTAACGCTGGGTGTCATTGTTCATGCAACTGACATGGCGAATGTACTTGACTAGGGATCCTGTGACTCGCCAAATGATAACACAGCCAGAAATGATGGCAATGATCCAGAGTAGGTAGTTGGAGAGCGAATCGTTCTCCATATCGGCAGTCCAACCGGAGGCTTGTCCCTGACCAGCAGTGGATGCGCCCCCGGAGGAGGAAGCCGTTGAATTTGACGGCGCCGACATATCGAGTAGTAGTTGATGTTGCTCTAGGAAGATCTAGGAGATCTTGATGGGAGAAGGAATGTTCAGAACCAAGCTCGAAGTCGGGGTCCCTTGTAGGGGTCAAATTGTGGCGCTCAAATAATCCCGTCCTTGTGACGTTATTGTCGAAGGAGTGAAACCTCGGGCAGAGCTATTGTGTGCGTCGTTTGCAGGCCCCGTGGGGGTGGGAATAAGGTCAACTTTAATTGGCGGTAGTTGAGTATTCGGAGTACTGAGGCATGTGAAATAAAAAGCACAATAAACGGCAGCGCTGCTGCGTGAGGCGAGAAAAGTGAAAGTCGGAGCCCGTAGATCTATCAAGTCGTCCTCCCTGCTGCAATCGTAACCACCTGACCAGCCTCCGCAAGGCTTTTTGTTGTCGTGAGTGCTGATAGGCGAATAGAATGTAGCCGACGGTTAGAAAAGAACCAAAAAGCAGGTCGAGAGCTGAATTGTTGTCGTAAAAGGCACGCGCCAACCACAGGTTGGGTTGATAAGACTCGAGCAAGCCCGTCGGGGTGGTAGGGAGAGAGAAAGGGTTGAAAGATATTGGGGCCGGCGAGAAAGACGCGGCAAAGGAAGGAGTGAGAAGTGAGCCCTGGAAGAGAATGAGGATGAAGAGAGAGTTGGATCTTGAGGCTCTCTTGAGTGAAAAGACTGGGTGGGTTGAAGGTGCGCACAGTCAGGTAGATTGGGCAATATCGACTGCCAGAAGAGGTAGAGCGACCCCGTATAAGAGACTGGGGGGCCCAGCGCATGAGGGAAATGACGGGGAGCCAATGACAAGAGCCCCGCCGGGGTTGGACCAGGGGGGTGGGATGCCCAGCAGCGGCTTGCCCAGGAGGTACCTTGCTAGCACACAAGCACAGGCTCTGCAGCGTGCCATCCATCAGCAATCGGCCCTGGCAGGTTTATGGATAGGCCCTGCTAGGCTTTGCTAGAGCTTTTCATTTGTGTGTACCCCACCTCCCACTGGCTGGCTCGTAGCGAATCTACGCTTCTGATCAACCCCCGACTGACCCAGATCGTTGCGCCAGGAAATCGTCGTCAGTCACCTTTCTGCTGCTGTCATTGGGTCGTATTCTGTTGCTCACTGCGACGCGTTGTGGGCCAGTTGAGTGTCGCCTTGTTGCTTTTCTTTGCTGCTCGGTACCTTCGTGCACATGTAGTATACGTACACTACTACGAGGTTTCCAAGGTACCTTTCAATTCGTCCGAAAAACAAAAAAAAGCGATCACTTGGGCATTATTATGAACCTTCTTCCCAATTTTATGCAGACATCTATACACGGGCACACGCATCTCAGACAAACATGACCTTTTCTTCTACATGTGCCCTGCTTATGGATGTACGTATTTGTTTATTGAGTTACCGTTGATCCAAGTGAAGACCTTCAACGCCAATGCAAGGGACCCGGTAATCTAGTGCGCTGTAGTGGCACGGATCAGAGGATTCTGCAAAGCCTTAGGGGTGGGATCAGAGTCAGGGGATCTCGCCACCGATCAGGTACGACTTTTTTGACCACCAGCATTGATGGCAGACTACCTATGTACCGATGTACCTGGGAAACGATTGACGCACCGACAACAAAACACGAATAATAAGATCAGACCAGCGTCACTAGCACAACGTTTCTATGTCAATCAGCACATCCTTTTTTGCACTCACAGCAGTCAGTGCGAATCGAGAACCGATACGAGCGAGTGAAGCAATGGTCATTGAACTATCGATGCGAGAGACCACTACAAGCCCTGTTTCCCCCCCCCCCTCCCCAGTGGCCAGTCACACATCATGAGACTCAATCGTGTGCAAAGTATCTGTTAGCATTATTTTCTTCTTCAATATGCTGCTGCCATAATTCATTTCATGTTTCCATGCTGCCACACCACACAGTTGCTGCGACGGCTTGCTCGTTGGCGCCACGATATGGAACCAGAGAGCACGCGTGTCCTTGTTTGACCTTGGCCTGTCTCTTGCTTTTTGAGAGGCCAGTGGCTGACATTGGTGGGGTAATCCCATGGTGTTGATTGCCCGCCTCTTTGGTGCTGAAACGACACCAACGCACTCCCCAGCGCGACTCAGCGGGCAGAGAACCTGAAAAGAACCGAAAGAACTGAAAGAACTGCTGGGGTCCGTCCATCTGGCCCAATCATGGCAGGGAATAGATTCCCCAATCGGCCGATTCCCGTTACCACAGACGCCCACGAATCAGTCAAAGCCGTCGCCCAAGGTTCATGCCGTCCGTCAATCTAATGCTTGCTGGCCATGGAGGAAAACCGAGCATTATGCTGTTCGTCTATGCTGTGCCTCTCGGCTCTTCTCGAATGGGAAGCACAGGCGATGTCTGCGTTTTCAGACATACCTTGAATCCCCGGTAAGATTTGGGTACAGAAAGGCAAGGCATCCTGGGAGAGAACAACGAACGCCGGGGCGCAGTCACACCCAAGTCACACTGTCGCCGCCACCGAGCCTCAAATTGATCACTCAATCTCCCAAGCCATACTAGATTATGGTTCTCTCATGGGCACCTCCGTACCGGGGCATTCCATTTGTCGAAAATTCCAGCTCCTTTTTAATTAACTTCTAGTGACAGCAAGAAGAACTATGTGACATTATTCTTCCGGTGTTAAATGGACTATATTTTAACTTTCAAGTTCCCGACGCACAGCAGCTCAATATCAAGATTCGCTTTGACTTAATACGCCGAATACTCCAACAACCAGTTTCCTTTTCCATCCACAATATGCTGACACACTTCATCGCAGTTACATCAGACCAAAAGCTTGTGCTGCTTGCTCATCTATTTACTAGATACTCAGAAAGCTTATCATTGATTCCAATCTGAATTCTTTTTCTTTCTTTCCCCGGAACCACTTGCAGTTTCGGACCTGGTCCCAGATAGACACATGTGTTTCCATGGTGGGCACGTCATACGTGCCACTCTGAAACCCCGTCCACCATTCATGTTATTGAGATAGACACATGGGCGCACAGCAGAATGGATGTTCGCTGTCAAATCATCTTACCTACTGAGCCATCCCCTTGGCGTCACTTTAAAATATCTTTCTTGAATGATGCCCTCGGCTTGTCTGCCGATGCGCAACTAGCTCTGACAGCATTTATTGATGATCGACTATTTAGCCTTTTTGGTTCGCATGACGATCTAACCAACCGCTTGCCTGTACCTGCAGTACCTAGTATCCAACTTCGTGAATCGCGTTGTGATGCAATTTTGCATGCGCTCTAAACAAAGTGGGAAGATGCATGAGTCGCAAGGCCCATGAATTAACCAGATAAATCTGCGAAGCACATACTCTTTGTGATACTTGACTCGGGTGATACTGTGACATGTTTTGTGCCAAGCCTCCCCCATGTTGTCGCTATTCTTCCGGGCATTGCTCCATACTCTTGTCCAACCACAAAAGTTTTCCTGATTATTGTTATGCAGCCGTTCAGGTCGCAGGAAGCTATAACCCGATAAGCAATTCATAGAGAACAAAAAGAAAAATCAAGCAGCATGTTTACGCCTGTCCCGGATTTCCGGGGCTTGGTGCAATCCATGCTAGCCATCATGTGCTGCTATGTAAGCCTGTGTAAGCATCCATGTGTGTGTGTCCTACCACCACTTATCAACCACCACCCACGTCAACCTCAATCTCCGGCCGTCCATCTGGAGATGCGGCGCCACGAGATAAAGTGGATTTTCTCTTGCAATATAGAGGGGATAAGTACTAGGCAAAAACAAAGCATGGAGATAAGGCACCATTTGGTACTATTTTTATTTTCAGTCCGAGAGAATACTGTGTACAGCATGGATCCGTGGATAGCTCCCGGGGCCTTTTAATTATGGCCCATTCCACAGTCGTATATTCGAGACGCTGAGCAATTCTTTCATAATTAATCGTGGTTAAGATTTACACTTTAATTTGCCCATAATCCGGGGGAGAAAAGGAACTAGATTCTTTTTCTTTTAATTCATTTTTTAAAATGCCTATTTGCTTTCTTTTATCTCTTTGCCGCTGTCTTTTTCTTGAATTGCATACTACCGCTGTAGGGTCATTGTTTCATGTGTTGGCTAGCGACATGGTGGACGTCTAGTATTGCAAGGCAAACTGCCTTTTTTTTTTTTTTGTCTTCCCCTCTCACTCGATTTGTGCGTGGCTAGTTTGTGGAACTACATATGCTTACCTGAAAGACAAATCATCATGCTGTCATTATCTGGTCGGTTCAATCGCCTGGTGACCTGATCTTGTCGGCACCGTAACAAAGGTGGTGTGTCTGCTTGAAACCATATTGACTAACCTATACTATGTACACTACATGTTATCCTGGTTGAACCAACACACTGGCATGGGGAAAAGTTTTGCCCGTGTGAAACTTGGCTGGCAGGCTGGGTCCACGCAACATCGGCACAGCTTGCCATGTGCATTAGTTAAGATCTCCTTTGGGATCATCTCTCGTATTAAGTCAGATCCACAATTGTTTGATATCTGGCGTGCAGGCTCGTCTCATCTCCATCTAATGATAGAATACTTACCTACTACTGATGATGGACGGCTTTATTTCCAGGCCTCGATACACGCGACCCAGCAGTCTGGCGGCACTGAGCCATTATTATGCGTTTGCATTGCTTCAGATCCTCAAGGATGTTCGCTTCTTCGGCACGACAGTGAAGCATGCTCGTTGCTTCTGCTCCTTCATTTCTATGCAATCGTGGCCACAGGTCGGTATGGCCCGAATTCAACTTGACCGTGTTTGAAGGCTACTCCCCAAATGGTTTGACGGATCCTTATACACCCAGTTCATCGTCACTGTGGACACCGCCGCCAGAAAGTCGAACGCGCCGCGTTCTTCCAAGTGGCCTCCTCACTTCGCTGCCATACCGCTTCCTCTTCACGACTTGTCCTTGGTTTTCTTTGTTGTCGCAAAGCTCATCGTCAAATGTCGTGTTCTTGGCTGCATGAGGCTCACTGTGACGCTTCTTGTAGTGGTTCGCATGTTTTTGGTGCCTTGGCATCGGCGTCGTATCCGAGATCGTAATGCTTGACAGAGAGTCTTGGGATGCTGAGCCAAGTCGGCCCTGACCGGAGATACGAATGTTATCGGACGAGGTTGCGGTTGCGACATGACCAGTGGAACCCGTTGATCTTGACGGGGAGAGGGACGTGCGATCCACAAATGGGTCCGACATCCTTCCATGATGCGCCCTCGCTGACGATCTCAGTGTTTTGTTCCTCTGTGTTTTCTTCCCGGTCGTGGGGCTCGCGGTCACCCATTCGCTGATTGACGCATCCCATCGAAAACCCTCAAACAGCATTGGTTTCCTTGATCCTTGATGGCACCCATCGCCGCCAGTACTGGCCGAGCCAGAGACCAAACTCTCAGCGTACAACAGGTCTCGTAGATCGTTACTTTGCTCCGCCAAAGTAAATGCCCCTGTTTTGTTGATAGTCTCAAGCAAATCGGTTGGTAGCCCCAAGCGCCCGAGCTGTTTGCAGAACGCTGCGAGATAGTGCCGTGACGCAAGTGTCGTTCCACGACCACATATCTTGGCAGTTCCTGACAGGAGTGAGATCATGGCCTGAGACCGTTTCATGAACTGCAGCCTCTCTTCATTGGAACCATTCGTAGCTTCAATCACTTTGGCAACAAGATTATCAAATCGCTCACCTTCGGAGATCGGAGACGAGAGAAACATTGCGAGATATACTACATGCTCCTGGTTAGCAGCTGGCCCCAATAGCCTGAAGACGTGATTTCTTCCAGAGTACAACAGTACTAAGCGGTAAGCGAAGAAGTAGAGCAGACGAGCCCGAAACATAAGATTTTACTTACATAGCACCCGAGGTTTGCCTCGTCTCCCCTTCCAAGATTCGATCTCGCCTATACAGGCGTTTAGAGTAAAGCCAATGCCCCGGCCGATTCGCGCAACTTTGACTGGATTCGGGCTTTTATTGGCAAAAAGCTCATCCTGACTGAGTCGCCTCATAGCTGCCAGTATAGCTAAGGTGGTAATGTGCAATTGTTGACACGACGTGATCAACTCGTTTGGGGAATCTGGTAGTTTCTGATTGGGACTGATCTGTAAGTTTCTGCATAGCAGTATGACTGACGTAGCAAGGAAGTCAACAGCATCTAGAGCCGCGCGGCCCTTGGAGATCATCTCAAAGGCCGATGCCCAAATCTCCTTGAAGTCCCAAATCGCAAGCCAAGTATAATGCAATGAGCCACGGGCAAGCAGGACGGAAATCTGCTGCAACATCATAGACGGACGGCCTGTTTTGATTGAAATGTCCCGCAAGAAGGACAGAGGTCGTAGCATTGATATTTCGGAAAATTTCGAGTCCAAACTCAGAGGTCGAGGATATGGGCGGCTCGTGAACGTATCAAGTAGTTCATCGAGTTGTTTGACTCCATAATTGGAACAAAGCTCAATGAGTATCATCGAGAATTCATCCGGAAATAATCCTTCTGCCATGGCTCTCACAAGGACGTTCATTGCTTCGGCTTCGGTAGCAGTTCGTAGGTGAGTCCAACCATCATCGAATGAACCTAAAGACTCGAGCTCTGAGTAGATGCGTGACCCAGTGTCCGCTCCTGTAGTATTCGTTCTCGTTCCGCTCAGCTCTGCTTCGTGCACCTCCCAAGCCTTTACGCCCGCAATGTAATGAGGCACTTTGCGGAGACACATGTCCAGAAATGATGATGCGCCTTTTCTGCTAGGCCTTTGGCTTACAACATTCAACAAAGCCTCGGTAGCACGGAAGACGGCTTCATAGTCCGTATATCTGGCAGGGGAGACATGGGTTCTTAAAGACACCAGCCAGTCTTCGAGCTTCGCATCACGTTTGCAAAAACGACTTTCCGTCTCGAACGAGTTTTCTAGAACTGGTTCTGACCCCTGAATGGGCGATGACATTTGATGTCCCCGAACGCGTCGCAACAGGGGGGTGAAAGCCACAATCTCTCCAGTATGACTCTCACGTTGTAGGTCTCTGGCGGCTTTAAATCTGACGGGCTCAACCTCTGGGCCTTCGACAGAAAGAGCATTCGCACCTCTTTGCGAATATGTACGTCGAAGCTTCTTCCGCGGGGCTAGCCAGGCACAGCTCTCGCTTGCGACAGCCGGTCGGGTTGGCGATGGCAGAGACTGAGGCAACGTATCGGGACATGGCAAATTTGTAGCGCTTTTGCGCAAGAGAGATATCCGCGAGAGCAGTGGACGGAGAAGCCGTTGGCACCGTGAAGCCGTCCAGGGCAGTATGTGATCTCCTCGCTGCTGAGGTTTGTTGACACGGTATTTTGGCCGTCTTGGCGTCTTGAATTCGTTGGTCCCCATAGCAAGATCCAAAGGGCTAGAAAGATAGGAAATATCCAGAGTACTTTGGTATATCCAAAAGAGATATGCTGGGCAATTCATAACATGCTTATAGCAGAATGCTCAAAAGAGAATTGCATAGCAACGGAGGTTGAGCACGAGCACGCCTGAGTGAGTGAATAGGCAACCAACAATGCAACGCGCTAGACCTTTGCAACCATTGTCAGAAAAATCTGAAGGCATTAATCATACGTCTTTCTTGGTGTAGTTTTGATCGATACCTAAAAAAGTTCGCAGTTTATCGATGTCGCTGATGGTGATGGTGATAATGACGATGCTTGGTTGGCCCTTGGAGTTGTGTTTTTGTTGACGGTATTACCATTTTGGGAACTAGCTGCAAACGCTACTCATGACCTTTGACTATCTTTAAAAGAGCACAGGAAAAAAAAAACGCCCCCAGCAAGTCAGGACGAATTGCATGAAGATCAATTCGGCGCTAGTTGACGATTTTGCGGGTGTTCTGGAGAAGGGGGAGGCCCTAGACAGGGTTCACGGGAGTATTTTCAGCGAGCCTCTCATCACCTTTGGGGGGCTGCTAGGGCACCCATTCATGCCATTCTAGGTCTGCCGTGCGGGCTGTTTGAGAAGACTCACTGGGCACTGACGGGCCCGAGAACCGTTCCCGTCCAATCAGCATGCGGCTAGGGCCTCCTTTTCAGCAAGCTCGCGGCCTACATGACGCGAGCTCCGCTGCGCCGGATACATTCGGGTCTCCATCAAACTTTTCCCGGCGTGAAAAAAATATCTTGGTCCCGTGTCGAGTCGAGAAGAAGAAATGGAAATAGCTTCTCCCACTGCCGTAATCCAACCTTTCTCGTCTCCTGCCATATCAACACCCAATTGAAGTGCCAATCTTTCCCCTGGCCTGTACAATAACTTATTGGTCCTGGTTGTGTCATCTTGTAGACCACTTTTTCTTTTTTCCTTTGGCAGTCACAGTACTTTCTATCGTGCTGGTCATTTCCTTTGCCCACCAACCTTGTATATTGAATTGCAACTCCTCCTTTTTGCTAAAAGCTGCCTTGTAATTTCCTATCAACAGCGATCTTTGGGCCTTTTCAATCATGTCTGCCGAGAAGGAGAATGCCCCCGCCGCCGCTGGTGAGTCTTGCTTTTTCGCCCCATCTACGAACTGCACAATCAACTGACCGCCGTCGTTCAAGCTGCAACTCCCTCAACCGAAGTAGCTGCCAATGGCAACTCAGAGCCGGTGGCTGACACCAGTGCGGACGTCCCAGACGAGGAAGCCGAGCAAGCTGGCGAAGGTACGCCGCTTCTTCCATGATACAAGTTCCTCCCGACTCTGTACTGACTGAACCCCCCAGCTCTCTTTCCTCTGACTGTGATTCTTCCCAATGAGCCTCACAAGATTAACATGGTGGTATGTCTCAAAATCACATCATTATAATCACTTGCGCCAATCTGTGTTTGCTGACTTGGTAGTATGTAGGCTTCGCCACAAGAGCAGGTTCACGAACTGCGCCAGTCCATTATTGAACTACCCGCCGCTTTCCAATATTCCTGCTTCCACCTCGAATTCAACGGCGAGCGCATAAACGACTTTGTCCAGATATCCGACGTCAAGGGGCTCGGCGCAGACGCGGAGATCAACTTGGTTGAGGACCCCTACACAGAGAAGGAGGCTCGTATTCACGTCATTCGGGTCCGCGACCTGATCGGTGCTGCTGGCGATAGGACTGATACTCTGCATGGTGTCACCCCTGGCATCTCCCTCTTTGACGCCGTCACTGCCGAGACCAAGGACATTGACAATGCGCAAGCTGCCAGCTATGAATTTGCTGCCGATGCAAAGCCGACTACACTGCTGCCGAAGGAGGAAGAGCCTGCCCCAAAGACAGTCAAGTCCATTGCTCTGTCGGCATGGAACCCACCGCCATACCACCTTCGACAAAAGGGACATCTTTTGTACCTTGTTGTTTCGACAAACGAGGGAGAACAATACCAAATTACATCTCATGTTGGAGGTTTCTACGTGAACAAGTCATCAAACAGCAAATTCGACCCCACGCCAAAGTCTTCGCCCAAGGGCCATTCGGCGCATTCGCTCCTGACTCTGGTTGAGCAGATCTCGCCTTCATTTGCCGAGTCTTTCCAGAATCTTATCGAGTACAGCAGCCGTAGAGACCCACTGGCAACCTTCCAGCTGACCAATGCCATTCCCGCGGCTCCGTGGCTGGTTCCCAACACATCCTCGACAGTAAACCAGCACAGCGCAGATATTACACGGTCGCAGGAGGGGTACCTGATTGCTGGTATTGACAACACGGATAGCCTTCGAGACTGGAACGAGGAATTCCAATCAGCCCGCGAGTTGCCCAAGGAGACGGTCCAAGATAGAGTCTTCCGCGAACGGTTCATATCCAAGCTTTTCGCCGATTATACCGATGCTGCGGCCAAGGGTGCTATCCTTGTTGCTCGTGGGGAGGTGACTCCTCTCAACCCGACTGAGGGACGTGACGCGCAGATTTTTGTCTACAACAACATCTTCTTCTCGTACGGTGCTGATGGCGTCGGAACCTTCACAACCGAGGGCGGCGACGACGCTGCCAGAGTCGCCACTGGCAAGGATGTGGCCGGAGTTAGGATCGTGAACCAACTCGACATCGATGGTCTTTACAGCCCTGCTACTGTTGTCGTGGACTACCTGGGCAAGCGAATTGTTGGCCAAAGCATTGTTCCTGGCATCTTCAAGCAGCGTGAGCCAGGTGAGCACTCGATCGACTACGGTGCTGTGGAGGGCAAGGAGATTGTCGCCGCCGATGAGAGATTTGTCGACACCTTCAGCAAGCTTTCACGATCGCTTCGTGGCAAGAAGCACGCCGTGTGGGACAAGGACGGTAAGCGTTTCGAGCTTGAGGCTAGTGTTGAGACCAAGGGTTTGATGGGCACCGACGGCCGGAAATATGTCTTGGATCTTTATCGCATTACTCCTCTGGACATTTCGTGGATGGAGGAAGTTGGAAACGTTGGCGAGAATGGGGACTCTGATTACCCTCATCGTATGTCGGTTTTGCGACCTGAGCTTGTTGAGGCTCTCAGGACACAGAAGTGGACTGAGTGGGTCAATGCCGAACTGGCCAAGCGCCAAAAGAAGCTCGCCGACAAGTCCGAGTCGAAGCAGGAGGGCTCTGAAGAAGCTACCGACAAGTCTGAGGAGAAGTCTGAGGAGAAGTCTGCCGAGAGCGAGGCTGAGAAGCCCGAGAGTGGCGAGGAACAGCAGGAGGACGACGACCGCCTCGATACATCTGGCTTCTCCTTTGCCTTGAATGCGGACGCCTTCAGTGGCCAAGAGCCGCAGACGGATGCTGAAAAAGAGCAGTGGGCGGCCGATGAGCAGGAGGTGCGCAACGCCTGTGCTTACCTGCGGGAAAACATTGTGCCTGAGTTTGTCAATGATATTAAGAATTCGGAGTTGCCATTCCCTATCGACGGTGTCTCCCTCACCCGCATCATGCACAAGCGCGGTATCAACATGCGTTACCTTACCAAAGTCATCGCAGCTTGCGAGGGCCCGAGACTCCAGCGCCTGGCGGATCTGTGCCAGCAGGAAATCGTTGCTAGGTCGTTCAAGCACGTGGCTGGAAAGTATCTGCGGTACCTCCCGATGCCGCTCACGTCTACATGCATCGCTCACCTTCTCAACTGTTTCATTGGATTCAGCTATAACCCCAAGCCGGCCGCAGACATTGACGAGTCGCTCAAGGCCTTGTATCCTGAGGCTGACCTGGCGTTTGCGGAACTGACCCCTGAATCGATTCGTAAGGAAATTGAAGGCGAGGCGACCCGGCGCTTCAGATACACCCTGCAAGCAGACTGGCCCTTCCAGCTGAAGCCTCTCCAAGTTTTGCGTGAGGTTTCGTTGAAGCTGGGCTTCCAGTTGCAGCACAAGGAATTCCAGTTCACCGAGGATGCCAAGTCCGAATCCGAGCAGCCAGCCAGCAACGGCAAAGCAACAAACGGGGTTAACGGTCATGCGTCGGCTGAGAGCAACAGCAAGAAGAAGAAGAAGAAGGCCAGAGAGGGCTCCCCATCATCCAATGCTTCTGCTACCGTTGCGCCCACCACCTTTGTTACCGATGACATCCTGAACATTGTGCCTATTGTCAAGGACTCGGCCCCGAGAAGTGTCATCTCTGAGGAGGCGCTTGAGGGTGGTCGCCATTCCTTGATGCAGAATAACAAGAAGATTGGCATGGAGTTGTTGCTTGAGTCATTGACTCTGCACGAGCAGATCTACGGCATCATCCACCCCGAGGTTGCCCGAGCCTACGCCACTCTGGCTCAGATTTACTATCAATTGGACGAGAAGGAGGCAGCTGTTGATCTGGCGCGCAAGGCTGTCATCGTGTCGGAGAGGACGCTGGGTGTTGACAATGCTGAAACTCTACTGGCGTACCTCAACTTGAGTCTGTTTTTGCACGGCTCTGGTGACAGCAAGTCGGCGCTCACCTATGTCAAGCATGGCCTTGATCTGTGGAAGGTGATCTACGGTGCCGATCACCCCGACTCCATCACCACACTCAACAATGCTGCTGTCATGCTGCAAAGCCTGCACGCTTACCACGAGTCCCGCATCTGGTTTGAGCAATCTCTCGGAGTCTGCGAGCGCATCATGGGCAAGAACTCACTGAGCTCCGCTAGCCTTCTGTTCCAGCTTGCCCAGGCACTGGCTCTCGATAACGAGCCCAAGGCTGCGCTGACCAAGATGCGTGATTGCTACAACATTTTCAAGGACACGCTCGGGCCTGAGAACCAGAACACCAAAGAGGCTGAGAACTGGCTCGAAACGCTGACTCAGAACGCCGTGGCGCTGGCCAAGCGGGACAAGGACCAGCAAGCTAAGAGACTGCGCGCAGGTATCAAGTTCCCGACTCGCAATGTCGCTCTGGGCAGCGGTGCCGGCAGCGCACAGACGTCTGTTCTGAGCAAGAGCAAAGGTTCCAAGACTGGTCTGGATTCGCGAAGCATCGATGAGCTTATCAAGTTCATCGAGGGAGACGACTCGCAGAAGAAGAGCACCAAGAAGAAGCAGTCTGGACGAGGCGGACCTAAGATGCGCCGCCTGAGTGTTGCCAACAACTAAAGAAAAAAGTCTTATGAGTACTATGAATTTGGATGTTGGGGGGAAAGGTGTTTTCCATTGGGACATTGGAGCAATGGCGGGGTATCATAAAAGCGAGAGAAACAAAAAACGGTGCATGTACAAATTATCTCTACTCATGTTGAGGAATGAGCTGTTGTATCATAATTCTCCCTCATTTTAGGCGCTCTTGGGATGATGTGGGAATCATCTACTATAGACGGGGCTGTGTCTCTGCCTAGGTAGGCAGCTTGGGCAGGCCACGGCCAGCAGTGGAACTGCTTGTGTGTACACAACTTGTCATTGCATTGATGCAATGATGCTGCTACTCTCACGAAACGCTAAATTCAGCACATCTTCACTCTTGTCACCACTTCTTGGCTTGAAAAAGGTCGAATAACATACTGACGGCCCGGCTTGTTTCCTCATGTTGTTGATGATGTACACGTGGCAACATGAGTTTCATGAGAGAAGATGTTGAGACAGGACAGGAATTTATATCAATTATCACGTACAGAATTTGCTCTCGCGACCACCAACAAGATTATTCTTTGGCCAGAAGAAGATTCTTTTGATTCTTGGGAAACGAATGGGTTTTCTGGCAGACGCATTCAACACTCCTGATTCGGGCAGATAAATAGGTGTCTTTAAGGTGAAGCTGAGTTAAAACATTGAACTTTACATGTCAACCAACCTATTTGGTATACCTGTGGCTGACTACCTAGACGGGATGGATGAGTAAAACCTACACAATGCCCATGTGACATGGCTTGTCATGGCCTAAAGTGTCTTTCAAGGAAGGACGAGACGTGATGAGGGTGTTTGAATGTTATTTATTGAAATTTTTTTTTTTTGACACCTTTTGCTGATGATACTTTGGTCCAATGCTATCTCATGGCTACTACACTAGAGCACGTCTTGAGAACAAATATGGAATTCGGGGCAAAGATATCCAATGTATGCCAAGTGCCCGCCTGATTCACGTACCGGTACTGGGCCTGGAAGGTGGCCTGTCACCCATTCTCCGGGTCGGTTAGTGTACACTGCCTAATGTACGACTGCCAATAATAAGGGGGACATCGGAACGATCAGCGGGTGGGAAGCACTTTAAGCTGCAGATAAGCGCATCGAATTGGCGTGATTGCTCAGTGCCTGTGGTGACGCGCTCTTTGCTGTAGCAGGGATAGACCGCGCCGACTGGATCATATTGCATGCAGCTCATGTAAAATCAACGGGATTATTCTTTATTCCCCCTTCTTTTCTGTTAGCACATCTCACACAACAAAGAGATGAATAAAAAAGAAGGAAGTCATAAGAGATGAATGCTGTAGAGCAGCGCAAAAAATTATACACATATTTCGCAGAAATGTAATGTAAATAAATGTCCTTTATATGCCCAGCGCAATTCTTGGTCATGGTACCGGAACTGGCGGGTTTAAGTTTGCTCTTCCAGATGGGAAATTTTTCTTTTCATCTTCTTCCACTGACGGAATCTTGTTTACTGTGAGTTCAGAGAGGACCCAAAGGGAGGGACAAGAGAGAAAAAAAAGAGACTTTGCCCCTCTGCAGCCTGGAGTGGTGACACCTGCAGCAGTGTCTGGTTTCGCGTCTCCTCGTCATTGCATAGATATATTTCTTGCCTACTGCTAAAACTTGACGGTGCAAAAGGGGAAAGAAAAAACCCAAAGGAAGAAGAAAGGGAAAGAAACAAAAATCTTAAAGCAAAAGTGACGTTCGATTAGTAAAGAGCGGATGCACTTCACTTTCATCTTCTGCTCAGAACTTTTTTTCTTTTTTCTTTTCCAAATGCCTTCGCAAGTAAAGAAAGAAGAACCCCACCACTTTCGACTCGCCGCCTCCACGACTTACGTACCTACCTCACATTATTACCTCCATAAGTCTTCCACGCGACGATCTCTCCCTTTGCGACGCGCCTAGCGATCAAAATCATCATCACCTTTTTTTTTTTTTCCTTCTCCCTAACTTGCAGACCGGGCGACCATCGCCATTGTCAACACCGCGCGTATCGCCGGCGCATTCCAGCTGGACGGCTCTTGCCCTGTATTGCACCTGCGAGTGGTTTCTGCCAGCTGCAAGGCAACATTCTCCCCCCCATCCATACATACATCCATCCATCCTCGGTCGCGACGCGACACGGATCGAAGCTATCGCGATAGCTTGCTTAATTTAGTTGCCGCCCGCGTCCGGCTTTGTTCCCACCAAACTACTATTGTTATTCCCACCACCTGACATCATTTCTCGTGTACAGCAGCCTCATCGCATGCGAGTCAATGGACAGCGTCTGACTGCCTTGCTGGCCATTACACCATGCCGCCATCCGCAACAAGGCGATCATCTCAACGGGCGCGCAAGACGCGCGACCCCAGCCCCGGCCCTGCCACTGAATTGTCGTCGCCATCGCGTCCCTCGAAGCGTAGAAGAAAGGTCAGCCATCATCTCTTGCAGCAGCCCGTCACTGCTGGCAAGCCCCCTTGTTTCCCCTGCTGACTCCCTCCTCCAGGTTCAGTTAGATCCTCCTTCAGAGCCTGCCGACGACGAAGACTCGACATTGACTGTGGATGCCAATCCGAACTCTGATGAAGCCTTGATATCAAAAGTCACACAATGCCTCGCCAGTATCCCCACTCAAGCGAGCCGCGATCATGCAAACTCCTTACAAGATCCATCTGGGGGTGATATCTCTGCCTATGCCAAGATTGCTGCTCAGGAATGGACCTACTTTGTCAAGCATCTCGTCGTGAACATTGGCCGCACCACCGAGATCGCACACGGCCAGTCAATACCCACTGATCCCAATGCAAAGGACTTTGTGCATATCGATCTCGGCCCTACCAAGGTCTTTTCGCGCCAAACCGCCATGATCTACTTTGACCCCGATGCCGACCCTGAATCTGATCACGGAAGCTGGTTTCTCAAGGTGAAGGGTCGCAATGGTCTAAAGGTCAATGGAGAAACCCTCAAGCGCGAGGACTCTCCGTACTTGCTTTCCAGTGGCGATGTCATCGAAGTGGGAGGAATCGAAATGATGTTTGTGCTACCGGCCAATTTGGGACCTTTGAGAGTTCACGAAATATACACATCACGTATTGGCCATGGCCCACCCACGATAAGCACAAAACCTCAGAAGTCTAGCCCGCCACCTGAGGTTCGCAGCGCCCTGCCACTTCCTGTCCCCGAAGCCATCTCGAGCAAAACCACAAAGAGTACCGCCGCGACCTCCGGTGCAACTGGCGCAGGCCCTCATCAGCTCATTGCCCCGGCGCCTCACGACTATAGGCGTCCCGGAACACCTCCATCGGCTGCTCGGGGCCGCACCAACGCATCGTCGAATCATCGGTCTCCCGCTTACGGTAGCAGTGGAACATTACTCATGAACAATAATGACTTGGACCTCAGTCTGGATGAAAATAAGCACATTAAGCCGCAATATAGCTATGCGCAAATGATTACGCAAGCCATCATCAGCACCGAAGACCACAAATTGAACCTTAATGGCATATATAGGTATATTATGGACAACTTTGCATACTACAGGCATGCTCAGGCTGGAGGCTGGCAGGTAAGTCTAATTCGAGCGAACTGTGACAAGATACCATTTTGGCTAACGAAACAAGAATTCGATTCGGCACAACCTGTCACTGAACAAATCCTTTGCCAAGATGCCTAGGTCCACGGATGAGCCTGGCAAGGGTATGAAATGGGAAATCGTCCCTGAGCAGAAGGAAGAAATGATCAATGCTGCGTACAAGACTGGACGAGGAGGACATCGTGGGTCGTCTGCTCCATCATCTCCAAGTCAACCCGGACCTCTCAATTATGTCAACCATGGCCCGAGAGAAATGGCAGGTCGGGCACCCGGTTCTGCACGGAAGCGCAAGCTCTCTCCTATTGCCTCGCCGCCTCCGCCATCTTCGGTGAACCCCACACAAACACCCGACCAGCGCTCGCGATACGACGCCGACGGACCAGCAAATTTCCAGGATGGTAGCCCCTTGCCTCGGCCGCGGAAGCCCTTGACGGCGTCTGGCTCCTTTGGTACCGCTGACGGGGTCCCACGTTCTCCGCCCACGCTTTCATCTTCGTATATGCAGGACGAGAGTGCCCCATTCGTGACCCCGGCGCCTCAGAAGCTCCACCCTCGTCTTGCGCCTCCGAGCACAGCTCAGCGGCCGAGTCAACACATGCCGACGAGCTCGCCCGCTCCATTCTGGAAGTACGCTGACATAGGAAGCACGCCCCTCCGTGCTTTACCTTTCGACCCTAGCCCTTCTAAGCCCGCCTTACCTCCCCTGCCAGGCAGCAGCAGCCCTCCAGCTCCGGTCAACGGAAGTCGCTCGCCCATTGCGAGCCCAAGCAGATCAACAGTTCGTAGCGAAACTCCACACGTTAAGGCGGAGCCGGCCCTGGCCGTCCAAGACGACGATGACGACGACGAAGATGATGATGAAGAGGCCGGCTTCGACCTGACCAAGTGAGTTCCATCTCTACCCCATGAGTGGTTGATCTAGTTGAATGTATTTGCTGACTCAAAATACGAACAGGGGCTTCCAAAGTATCGGTTCTTACCACGCGCCAATTGGCCGTGGCTTGGGCGTGCCGAGAGCCAACGGTCGCTAGTGGTGACTCGATGGATACGGTATGCTTGCCACTTTCGAAGAACAAATCAGTTACGAAAACAGATGCGTTGAATGTGGGTTTTGGTTTTGGTTTCCTGTTTGTTGGATCCTACGCGCTATTGCTCATGATTAGCATGATGGAGGATGGACGTTGTGTACTTGATAAGTCTTTCTTGTCTTCCCCAACAGCAAGCGTATGTTCATTTTCTCACTGGCTACCACGATAGCCCGACTGCTTGTTAAGTTTTGAGTTGTCCATGAGACTGAAACAGTAGCACGGGGGGAATATGGTGCCGATTCAATTCTAGCCCGTTGTTTTGAACACAAGAGTGAACAAATTGAAATTATGCGCCTTCCTATCCATACTCCAAAGGCTGTAGTTAGCAGTCTTCTTGCCACTACACCAAGTCTATCTTAATGTAATCTTCGACTTTGCACAAAAGCTGTGGACAAATAGTATCACAGTAACATCGACGAAAGCACCAGATTGGGTCTCATAAGTCATGTCTTCTTCAGCTGTTAGCATAAGCGACGACGCATTGATAGGAGAAGAGGTTCTGCTCCGGACTGTCCACTGTTTCTTATCTATACTTCATGTGTAATCCAAATAACACCTCAAGAACCTTACAAATGATGCATTCATTGTCTCTCGAGATCAATATCACTTCCCGTTTCAATTTCGTTTTATTTTGTTCTCATAGCCTCCCACCGCACGTCTTGATCCCAGATATATTCCCAGATATGTGGTATGATATCTCTGTTACCTGGGTAGTGAGTTGCCTATTGCAGCCATCGGAGCAGCTATTTAACCCATGAAGCCTCTCAGAGACCAGGCAGCACAACGAACTTGTGACTTGATTGACAGGTCTCTCTTGACCCTCCATCCGTTGCTCGTTTCCCTATCCTTCTCCGTAGTATCCATCTTCCTTGGATAAGATGCAATGGCTTTGAAACAAGGAATGCACAAGAGGGGGTACTCGCTATGACAAAATGAATACAGCAATAAAATCAATGTTGGTATATGAGCGATGCAAAAAGAAAAGTCAGACTCCTGTGACTAAGACCTCGCTAGTGGTCAGAGGATTGAAGAAAAGGAATTCCTGGCATAGGACCGCAGAGAAGAGAAGAATAAAAAACAAAAACAAAGAAAAAACAAATAGCCGACCGTCCAAATCCCCGGGATATCATTTGCGATATGTACATCTAGTCCTCGTATGGGCAAATACGGGAGTCAAAAACAACTCATGTGCTAGAAAAAAAGTTTGTGGTTGTAGAAGAATGATGTGACGCGTGGTCTCTTTTACTCAAGGAACTCCTCGGCGCCTGCGTCCTCGGTTTGGTCCGTCGGGTCTTTGGGCTAGGACTTCACGGAGCTGAGGATCGTCTTTGTCCTTGTCGGTGTGATGGACCCTGACGTGCCGTTGGAGGTTATCAGGGCGCGGGTATTTGTGCTCGCGATCTGGGCAGAACGGGCAAACATACCCAGGTGATTCGTGGACCAAACCATGCCGAATCATCTCATTCTTGCGCTTGAAACCTTTGCCGCCTTCAGATCGAGGGCAGCCCTTGACTGGACAGTAATGCGGCCTTGCAGACGAGTGTACATTCGCGTGGGAGTTGAGTAGATATTGGGTCTGGAATGGGGCAGCATTGCAGCCGGCAAAGGTGCAAACAAAGCTGCCAACCTGGTTTGTCATGTGATCGATGCTCATACGATCCCGACTCACGGGTGACACCAATGGATTATTGTGATCCATGATTACAGGTGCTTCTGGATGACGACCTGTAGGGCCGCTGTAATCTTGGCCTGACCGGGGGACAAAGCCACTTCCAGGATATGATCCATGTGGCGTGTACACGGATGCTGGTGACGGCATACTATGTGTATAGGGGTATTGCGGAGATGTTGGCGAGGTCATGCCTGGAATACTCGACATGCCCGGTAATCCAGGAGGCGACTGAGGGAAGGAAGGTCGACGCCAGGCATTGTCTTTGTCTGGATAATGTTTTTCAATTAGTAGGTCTCCCACTTGAGCCCGAATCGAAGGCAATGCTTGCGAAGTATGGCCATTTGTCTCCGACGTTGGAGAGGCCATAATGGGAGCAAGCTCGCCATGGTTGCTTGGCGTAGAGGTTGGAGACATGGGATCCGGATGCCTCAGTCCACTTGATGACGGCAGCCGTGGAGAACAGAATTCAGGCACGCTTGGGGTATAAGGAGTAATAGGCATAGCCAAGCCTGGTTTCGTAGTCATGTCTCGAGGCTGAAGGGGTTGTAATTGCGGATGATGTGTAACCTGCGGCGGTGGTGGTGGAGCTTGCGATAGTTGTTGTTGTTGTTGTTGTTGTTCCTGCAACTGTATCATTTCTTCTGGTGGTGATCTCATCTGTCCCTTTACTTTGTCATTCTCCATGACGGCTGATTTTGGCGCGCTATCTGCACCTGGCGATGACGGTTGCTGTTCGAGGGCAGCAAGAGCTAATGACTTCAGAATCATTGCTCCATTCGTAGGTCTTGGATCAGGCGACATTTTCGGGCTGCCGATATAGCCCGACATGGAGCTGCTGCGACTATGATTGTCCCCTTCGTCTTCTTCGTCAGTGTCTTCGTCGTCGTCGTCTTCCTCTCCCCCAACACCGTCGTCGCAGTACCCTCCGTCAAGCGGGTATGCCCCAGCCTCTGCTGCAATTTCGGGCCGCCGTCCTCCGTCGAGATAATGAACTAGCACGGCATCTCCCTGACTAGGTTGCACCTTTTTCTTCCTGTTAGAAGCTTTGCGACCAGCGGTGGGAGATAAACTGACTTTGGGGAGCGGTATAGCCGGCGGCGGAGAAAGCGATGGCTCTAATCTCGGACGATACGCTGTCATCGGAGGACTATTTCTGAAAATAGGACCATCTGGATCGGAAGGGTCGCTGGCGAAAGTGTCGTGAGCAAAGGGGCCGGCCGTCGCAGTCATTGCTTGAGTTTGGTTCGATACGTGTATGGCGCCGTTACTCACGAATCAGGTCAGTATTATTGCTACCTGCTCGCCATGGAGCGCGCGCGCAATGCCCTTTGTAATTGTTAAGCAAGCTGCAATGCTGCCCAGCAACAAGTGCAATGTTGCAGTGTAGGTAGACCCAGCCACACGGGAAACCGCGTGTATGTGTATATAGTTGATTGATAGGGAGCCGCAAATTGCGTGGATCGAAGCGCCGACACGACGGCGCAAATAAGTGCCCCCCAGCCGCGCTACACACTAATAACCCCCGATTATGAGTGGTGGCAAGGAGCGTAAGGCTTAAGATGCTCAGACCCGCACCGCAGGGACTTGGGCTGTTTTGTTTCTGGTGTTCTCCCAATACACGAGCAAAAAGAGAACGATATGGGAGGGACGGACCGGGACTTGGGAAAACCCTCGCTGCAGGATGCGCGGCAGCAGGAACGCGAGCCACAAAAGAGGAACGAGAAACAAAACGTCAGTTAGATGCTCGGAAGCAGATCCCCCAGAAAATCCCAGAGAAGAGGTGCGGTAGGTAGGGATTCAAGGTTGCTAGCGGTTGCGCTTGGCTAATAGGATAGTTGCTCGTGACCTTGATCGGGCCCTCACCAAGGTTGGTAGGTACAGAATGCCGTCTCGATGGGCTTGTAAGTGGTCTGGCGTAGATTGTAAGGCGGGGACCCGCGGAGCCTCAGTCTCGCTCCTCTTTTTGTGGATAGCCTAGTCGCAGGCTGGCTGGCTTGGGGCGAGGGAATCCTGGTCTTGTGTCCAGGGAAGGAATTGTCGCAATAGAGAGTCGAACGGGCCAGACAGGGATTGACAAGCGGGATAATAATGCTGGATGGGTGCGCAGGCTTGGAGGTTGGAATTGAAGGGGAGCCCGGAGATGCTAGGTCAAATTGGCGCCTTTGGCTTGCCCAGTTGAGAAAGTCGATGCCAACCAGGGGGATGTAGAGTACGGACGGAGGACGGTCGGTGATGCGGCGATGGATGCGGCTGTGAGTAAGGTCTCGTTGTGAAATGGCACGCAACAGCAGCGGCGGCGGCAGAAGGAAGAAGCAGAACAATCGCGTGCCGTTGGATGGCACTGTACTTGGTACAAGATCCAAGCTCCTTGTGTCGCTGTGGAATTGAAGCTGATTCGATGCTCCAGATGCCGGATAGTGCTCAGTGGGTAAAATCAGCTCAGACGTCCCGAGAAACAGAGACAGGCAGCACAAGAATACGGTGCCACTTTTTCGTTTCTTTTGTTTCTTGTTTCTGGTTTTAGTTTTTTCTCGGGCTACCCTAGACGAGAATGTTTCTGGTGTAATGTCCCGCTGCTGCGCGCTGATTCTTGCTTAAGATGGCAGATAATGACCACAGCAGACAGCTATGGACAACGGTCAGGATGTCGGGTCCCTTTTGGGTCCCCCCTCCCCTCCAGTTGTCAGGGAATGACTTGATGAATGGGTGTGTGGCAGTCGGTCTGCAATACCGCGGGTGGAGAAGATGCGGCTGATCGAAACGAGGTCCCCTACCGGGTGGAGGCGGCTCTTCCTAGTTGGCAACGTGTTTTTGCGCAGTTGACACGAAATATGATTACGTCCGCACTTGGAGCACTATGTGATGCCGCAGGTCCAATGAAGGGCGAACTTATAGTAGCGACCTCGTAAACGGGCGGGGCCCTTCAGCTTTGCGAATTGTTGAGTCCTAACAGACGTCAAAAAGCATCATGGGGCAGCAGAGTTTATGGCTTTCCCTTGCCCTGCAGATTGGCAGCGCTGTGCCTGCCGCTGTCTTGTCTCTCTGCCGCAGTGCCTAATCCTTCATGGACGGTAGGGTTCAAATGGGGGTGCGTCGAGGCCTGCAGGTGCAAGCAGCGCACCTAGTTCTGCAAGTCCCAAGACGAGAAAGGCCCGTATGATAAGGTGGGAATGGGGCGATTGGGACGGGATCAGAATGGGAGATCGACGAGGTTCTGCCCGCAGCCAGCAGGTTACAATATGCGCTAACCGGTACCCAATACCAACCAGAAAGTAATAAGTGGCAGCACCGGCGTGTGACAACCTGTCTGGGCGGCCTGTCTGGCTGGCAGGGAATTGGGGGCCTTGCTGCTGCTGCTGCTTGCTTCAGCGGGGGCGTGGGATACTGTGAACTGTGTAGTGTAATAATGCACGTATGACAGCAGAGAAGCTTCCCAGAAGAGGGAGCCTGTGACAAGCTCTTGGGCCGGGACCTGGCTCGGGACAAAAAGCCTTGAGGGGGACGGACGTGTGTCAGACGTGTGGATTGGGACCCAGTTGAGAGTCTTTGCGGGGATGTTCGCAGGTCCTGTCTTCGCCTAGTGAGAGCCGCAAGGATGTATTCTCGTATGTACCGGTAGAAACTACGAATACTTCGTAAAGCTTGGGCTTTTTCTTTTTTCCCCCCGAGTCTCCTCTCTATGCGCATAGATGCGCAGATTGCCAATGCCCGTATATACACGCCACTTTTACCAGAGTAGAGTAGCAGCTGCTTCGTACCAAGGGCGACTGGCTTGAACGATCGAGGAACAGACTAAGCATACAACTAGCAACTGGCGGGTTGACTGGCTGGCGGCTGGCTGAATACTTTCCTGGTTTAGGCCAGTAAAATGGTACCAGCTAGATAGGTATCGTCGTCGTCGTCGTCGTCGTTGTGGTGGTGCTCTCAGCTTTTTTTTTTTTTTTTTTGTGTTGTGGTCCAAGACCCAGCGGACAACCGACTGGCTGAGCAACTGCTAGATGCTGCAAAGCACCATGTGTCCGTTCGATCTCTGCAGGCAACGTACCCTCTTGTGTAAGGTAGCGAAGTATTACCTCTCGCTAGTAGGCAGATAGATAGATACCCTGTGAGAGTAGTAGAGGCCGGCTCTTGACCTGTCTGGCGGGCGCACGCACGCACGCACGCACAATCTTGTTGGGGCGGACGACTGAACAAATGACGAACCCCTAATCAAAATCGAGTTGTTTCAAAGTCGCACTCGATTGTCTGTCTCCTGCCCACCGGGTATTGTGGGTGTAAAGAGGAAGGTGCGGGACTGGACTCGAGATTATGTAGCATAGTATGTAGGCAGACACTGGAAAGTAGTGACCGAGATACGACAAAAACCACTGGGACCCGCACGAACTATGTAATCCGATTTATCAGATATTCCACAACCAGTTGGACGCTCGTGAATAGGTAATGAGGTAGGTAGTAGATCCCCAGGACCGGCCGGTGGCTAGATGACTATTCAAAGTCCTGTCAGCGCATGATTGCGGTGAGTAAGTACAAACAGTCCGTATTGATGACATCTTTCTTGCGACCCCCCGCTTGTCCACCAGCTTGGAATTCAAATCCCACTCTCAAAAATGGCCCCGTCAAGTTTCTCTTTCTAGCTACTCAGCTGGAACGACTGGGCCAGTCAACGTGCACGATATACATGCAGGAATCATTAAGGTCATCTGACTGGCTTATCCCTTTCACCGAGAAGAGAAGACCAGAGAGCTGCCCGATCCCACTGATCTCATCACATTTCATATTTTCAGAATCCATGGCCACTACTTTCTATACCTACTCATTTGGCGTCACGACCGTATCAATACTACTGCTACTATTCAGTGTTTCATACCCGAAGCTGGTGTCCTGAATTATTTGAATGGGAATGTGCAAAATGTCTTCACTCTGGAGGCATTGGATTGGTGTGAGCCCCAGCATCAGCTATTGCTTCAATGGACGACTGCCGCGGCAATAAAGCGAGCCGAGCATATGACAGATATTCGCAATATATAATTGCTCGCTTTTTCCAGGCTCAGAACGCCTTATTAGCATGGGCCGAACAGACACCTCACTGAATCATGAGAAGTTGTAATGGTATGCACATTGGTAGTGGTCCGCGATTGCCTAGCTCGGGCAAGGTCATTCTGTACATAATACCTGATGGTAGGGGTTTTGATTCAGGCGGGGGTGTCAACTGACCAGTAGGAAAAGAAAACAACAACAATAATAACAATGCGGCGCTGGAATCCATGAGCAAACCAGCGTTGACGACAAGCCAGAGGAAATCTTAATCTTTGGGCTCGCAATGCCAGCTTCCCAGAATGGGACACGCCGTGCAGCTACATGGCAGTTAATGGACGCCCAGGCGAGCCAGGGCCGCCTACATAAAGAGATACTGCAATCAATCAGTCCCGCGGGGGGTATCATCGCCACGGACCTCCACTCTCGCCGTGGCCTTGAAGGTTCTGGGCAGTAGGCAGGCAGTCATACCGAGAACTCAAAACTAGTAAAAAAAAAATTCAATACGATGATGAAGGGTGTGTATTCCATGTACGTACTACTCTCTTGTTGGTCAAAAGGATGGCCTGCGAGCAGACAGCCAGACAGACACCCCACGTTGGGCTTTGCAATGGTCATTGCTCTACTTTGCGCGCTCGCCATACAGATAATAGACTGTGCCCAATATGATAGATTCTTCGACGTGGATGGCGCCTTTGCTCTGACCACGTCGCTCACTCGTACAGGTGGTACGTTTGTATGTGGGAGCCGTCTCTCAAACTCGGTCAATTATCATTTATTAGTAGAAGACAAGACAGCAGGTCATAGCAATTACTAGTAGTATTCTCTTTGCTTCCCGAGACGGACACCTGCCCAGTGTTTCGCCTTTTTGGGGAGGGGGGATTTAAAGTTGATTGATGCCAAGACAAAGGTACAACTCGGCGGGTTTTTTTACTTTGATTGCCCATGCAGGGTAGGCAGCCTGATATTTTCAGGGTTCATCAAAAGCTCCATTCATCGGTGACGACAAGCATAGATCATCTACTTACCAGCCCGCTGCAACTCCTTCGGGCTCCATCCTTTTTCTCTCACTACATGTTGCTCACTAACCACCTACCTACTTGTTACTGCTATTGCTCTGTTACTGCTACTGCCATTTAATTATTTGTAGTACTTCATTCTGGTACGGGAACTGCGGCAGATGAAATTCTTTCTTCGGCAGTTCTCGAGTTACTGCTGATCGTATTGCCTGTGTGCACTTTGAATGGACATTCCTGCCCCGGCGGATCCGGTGTTTCTTCTCCCTGAATGACAAGGTACTCCGCAGTGAGCAGCAGCTTAGCCCTTCTCTTCCCTGGTCTGACAGACGTCGCATTTCATCTAATGTAGGCTCTCGCTGAGCTGGCTGCTGCTGCTGAGAACGCATTGCATTACACTACACTTTCACCCTGATTGCTCTGCCCCCCGAACTGGCACATCACCAAGAGTTGCCGATCAATGGACAGAATGTGCTCATCGTTACCTTGGTTGCTTGCTTGATATGAGGCAAATTGTAGAGTGAGAGCTTGGGAATAGCCGCAGCCATTGGAGGCGCCCATTCCATTCCATCCCATCTATCCATACACATATACACACATATATAATACATGACTTACACGTGTGCGGCATGTGGTCGCCCCCCCCTTCCTTGCCCAATTCTCTACCGCTGCTGGGAATCGATCTTATCAACATGCTACTCCAAACGACCCAAAGAAGGCTGGAGGGGGGGTTAACGAAGTCGGTAAGAAGAAAGAGGGGGGTGAAGCTTTTTCGAAAAAGAATCCTTCTTCGAGGGGGAAAAAAAAAAGATGGTGGTTGACAAGGGGGTGTGTGGTCTCTGCGCTTGCTGGCATCGCGGAACATTTGTAGAATAGGACGAGCGGCTCAAACCATCTTCGGACACCACCCGACGATATGTCACCTCCGGCCAATTACTCCTACCCACCAGAGGGGGCCAATAGTCGATTGCGGCAACGTCAGTGGTCAATTTGTTTACCAAGACACACAGATGAGGAATTTTGCCGTTCTTGCCGCTGCAACTACCAGATCCCTCGGAAGGGCAATGCATCACTTCATACATACCTAGTCGCTTCACCCAGACACACCTACAAAATCATTTGCTTACCGCTAATGGAGCAAGAGGAGCGAGAGTGAGAAGATGATGATGGTGATGGCCTTCGCTTGCGGTACTCTATTCCACAGGTATGTATGCGTATGTGCATATATGTGCATGTCGCAGGCAGGCAGGCAAGCGAGCATCTGCTGCGCAAACACCTCAAACAGCGCCAGACGTGGGCTGTGCTGAGCATGCCATAATCTCACTTCCTAGAGGCAGTAAGTAGTACCTGTCGGCTATTGTGCTCGCGATCCTGAGTCGGGTCCTGTTGTACAAAAACAGCCTACATACAGATTCGCTGCCCGTGATGGAGAACAGGGAAAGAAGACGGTCATCAAAATTCAGTGGCTTGGAACAATGATCGACAACATGCATCTTGGGCTTCGCCTCACTCTAGCTTTTTCGGGGGCCTTTTCAGCCTCATCCAATCGTTTCCCCGTTTGTGCGTGCCTGCAGAAGTGCTCTCACCGAGTGCCAATCCGATATCTGAGTGGTTCCCAGCACTCGATGGTGAGAATAGATGCTCGCCTATTTTATTTATCTCTGTCGGATGATGAAACCGGCGGCGAGCTTATGAGAGACAGCGATCATGCCCCTAGAGTGTTTCCAATCTTTCTCATTGTAATCCACGGATGCTTGCTACTATATAATACCTTAGCCGCTTTTGCTGTCTGACGTGCGGCTAGAACTGCCCGCCTGGCGTCTAACGGAATCCATATTAAGTATGTACCCAGAATCAGATGCCAAAACGAACTCTCGGCATGTGCTAGCTCTTCACATCGTTTGCAAAGCAGCCAAGGCAGCCTCAACTCGCATGGCGGAAACTCTATTTCTACACAAGTTGGGTAGCGCCGGGGAAAGTGAACAAGAAAAGAAAAGAAAACCAGGAGAATCAACAGAAAAAGAAAGGCGGTCTGCGGCCGACTCCGAATGCGTTCAAACATCACATCAGAACATTGCCAATTGTCTCGTCAGCATAGCCTTGTATTGAAAGTGACTGCATCTGACGGCGTCGGGATCACACCCCTTTTGCTATCATGATGCCGCTGTCCGCCCTTTGATTTCTTTTGTGAACCCTAAACATGCAATCCGAGGTCGAATCAGCCGGCGTCGTTACTTTTTTTTTTTTTTTTTTTTTTTTTTTTTTTTTTGGGGGAACAAAGCAGTAGAGCTCATTTGGATCTAACCCACCACTCGTGAGATGCTACACACAGATGCTCACATTGACTCTTCCGTCCCACAATTTGTAAATACGTACGAGTTAATACATGAAAAGCACTGATCTTCTCCCCTCAGGGAGCCTCGATCTTTTTCCCGCACCTCGAAATAGCACATGAATGATTGTTTGGGTGGTGGAGCCGGGGAGGGAGGGGGGTTCAAGTCAACATGATTCTTCTTCTTTGCCCCAATCTGACACTCCTGTTTCTAGGATCAAGGCTGAAAAGTCGACGACAATGCAAGTCATGTCATCAAAACATGGGCTTTGGTGAGGCAAGATGTTTATTCTCGCAACAGTATATCGTACGAGATGACTAGACGCGCGCATGACCATGGAAGTGCAACCGGATTTACACTCCGTGCTTGATAAATTACATTTCATGGTTTTACTTGAGCATCCCCATGATGATGAACCTGTGTCAGGTAGCACTGGACAGCCTATGTATCCTTTTAAAGTGGCACTCGTCGCGTCGAGAAATTGTGAGACCATCAGGATTATCCCATGACAGGTAATATCTCTGTCCTTTTTCTTTTTCGTTTCTCTTCTTGTTCCATGTGTATTCTTGGAATCTGATCGGTTTTCGGGGCCGAGACTTTTGTTGGCTTTCAGCCGCTTCGGCATGAATATAGAGAGTATTGAATTTCCTTTTCTTATCTCGGATTTTTCTTTTTGGACTTGTCGTCGCCTCATGGTGAGCCTCCACCACTATGAGCCGCAGTGGGCTTTTAACCCCCCCGGAAGCCGGGAGCGGCGCAGTATCACGGCAAGTGATTGTTATATTCTCCAATACATACACATAGTGATATTACACGAGACTTGTGTGATTTGTAGCAGGTGAGACCGGCGAGTCTCGGAGAAATGCTCACCGACTCGGCAATTTCCAGTTTTGTGGATTTTCTTTTTCTTTCTCTCTGGTATTCACGGTATTCATGATGTTCATGGTCGCTTATCAAAATTGATGTTCTAACAGCTCCCTAAAGTCTGGAGAAGCTGTTCTTTTTTCTTTTCCGTCTCCTGGGTACAAACTATAGTCATGGCCCTGGATTGCTGCCGCCGCCACCACGGTGCCACCACCACTACCACCCCCTTGCCTTCGGGAAGATACATTGGCAGGGAAGCAAACAAAGGGATTGCTCGGCCCGCATCCGCGTTGCCTCATTCGTAGATACGGAAGATGGTATATAGAATCGCCTTCAAGGGAACCTGACTGGATGCTCGTCGGGTGGGGGCCGGAACAAGGCCCTGGTGATCGCGAGGCTGTAGACACACCCAATTGCTGACAGATGCAGGCTACGTATAGACTGAAAGTTTTCAAGTCCTCGCAAGAGCTCCTTTTCGACAAGACTCAAACGCTACTGGTAATGACGTTATGATATGCCCAATTTTGTTCCTCATGTGAGCATTTTATTCGTGAAGTCCTTGACTGGGACTTGGCGCCCCCGGGCGGGGGGGGGGTTGATCCCATGTGTAGTCGGCTCTCGAAATTTAAAGGTCGAGCACGATACGCAGACTTCAAGTCCTTCGCGGATGGAATTCCATTGCAACATGTCTTGCACATCATATATTGTAAAACCAGTTCCATGATTTGGCTCCGGCCTTTCATGATATACAAACCTATTACTAGGAGAATAGTCACACCTATGACTCTCTATCTAGTTAGTCAATCAGACCTTTCACCACGACCCACCCCTGTCCCCGCATGCATTGGTCAAGCCGATATAGGGTCCGAGATGTGAAAAATGGCCACTACGTACTTGTTCAAAAAACTGGTGACGACACACGTTTATAGTAACTCAAATCAACACACCCTGAATCAAAATGGCGTTGCCTACTACAATGAATGCGGTCGTCTTCGAGGGCCCCGGTAAGGTGTCTGTACAGCAGAGGCCGGTTCCGAAAAGTTGGTATTCGCACCCTTGAACCACCCGAGTTCCAAAGCTAACTCACTACTGTACAGTCCAGGATGAGCAGGATATCATTGTCAAGGTTCACAGCACTGCCCTTTGTGGATCGTGAGTCAATCGAGCCAGAAGCGACACGGTGAATTTCTGAAGCTAACCTGATTCTTTCGCCCGGAAGCGAGCTTCATGTGTTCCGCGGTCACCAGAAGTCAGATGCAGGTTTTATCATGGGCCACGAGTTCACGGGCGAGGTTGTTGAGCTAGGAAAGGGTGTAAAATCGGTCCAGATCGGTGACAAGGTTGTCACACCGTTTACGATCTCTTGGTATGCTATTCACTCTTTTACTATCTACGGCAGAACCCCTTTCCATGCCTCATTGCTGGAAAGCTGACACGGCTATCGCAGCGGGGATTGTTTCTTCTGCAACATTGGGGCTACCTGCCGGTGTGAGAAGTCCCAGTGCTTCGGTACCGAGAACCTCGATGGAGGCCAGGCGGACTTTGTCCGGGTGCCCTGCGCCGACGGCACAGTCTTCAAAGCACCGTCGGAGATTGACGACAATGCCCTGATTCTGATGGGCGATATCTTCCCAACGGGCTTCTTCGGTACCAAGAATGCTTTCGCTGGACTTGGATCCCAGAAACCTTCCGAGGCAACTGCTGTGGTTGTGGGCTGCGGTCCCGTGGGGCTTTGCGCCATCGTCGCGGCCATGGAGTACAAGCCCAAGCACCTATTCGCCATCGACAGTGTCGAAAGCAGACTTGAGCTTGCCAAGAGCCTGGGCGCCGAGCCTCTGAACTTTGCAAAGGACAAGGAGGGTATGCTGGCACGCATAAAGGAAGTGACCGATGGCCGAGGTGCCGATGTCGTCATTGAGGTCGTGGGACTCAGCCCGGCCCTGAGAACGGCCTTTGACATCCTTAGGCCGTTTGGATTCCTCAGCAGCATTGGGGTCCATAACGCAGAAGTAAGTCAGCTGCTACTAGAGGTAATACTCACTCTGCTGACGCCACATTAGATCCCCTGGGACGGAGACGACGCGTACACCAAGAATATTCGTGTGCAGATGGGCAGATGTCCGGTCCGTGCAGTATTCCCCGAGGCACTCAAGGTCCTTGCCAAGAACCAGGACAAGTTCGGGTAAGTTGCATGGCGGCCTTTGAAATCCGCCTCCGGAGGACCACAACGCTAATCGTTCGTAGATTCATGTTTGATAAGATTATGCCGCTCAGGGATGCGGCCGAGGGTTACGACCTTTTCAATAACATGAAGGTTCAGAAGGTCATTTTCAAGCCGAACTAAAATCTTTGTAGATGCGTTCGTAGTATAATTTGAACTGAATTTCGGCCGTGGTTGAGTCCTCAGTTCTGCCGTGGCTTGACAATCCCATCATGTACAAAGTAGTAAACGACCGTTGAGTCATCATGCCTCACGGCAAGTAATAGTCGCTTGGAACGCCCTGAAGGCAATCCCGAGGGCCGGTCCATGGTGTCAAAAATGGCCGACAGGAACTCAAGGCTGATGGTCTCATTCAGACTTGTGGAAAGAACCCATTCCACCTCTGGCGTTTGCGCGGCTGCATTCATGGTGTTGTTCTTGATCATTTCGATCTGGTCGTCCGGGTGAATATAGATTCTTCGAGGAGGGAGACCAGAGATGAGAGGCCGAGGAAAGGGTTTGTTGCTTTCTGGGGCAAAAACATGCTTCTTCAGAGAGGTCCAGTCCTGTTGGTTCTCAAGGTTCTCATAGACGGCGGCCACGAGGTCGTGGGTATGTGTTTGCTTCTCCATTTTATGCAAAGGGCTCGATTTGGTCCAAAAGTTGACGTGACATCAAGATTGAACTCTTGTTTGGTTTGCGGCTTGCCTGTTTGGTTTGCGCAAGAGTCATGTAATTTAATGAATGGTGGCCAGAGTTGTACTCAACACCGTGATGATGATTTGCTGTTGGCTTGTTTTTTTTTTTGTCGGATAGCTTTTTCTAGTAGGCGGTGACTGTGCGGCTCCTGCAAATCTGGAACTAAAAGTTCCCGTTGGTGGAGCTTTGATCGAACACTTCCAGAATAGAACAGATGGAATTTGGACCTACGTATGATGCACCTACCTCAAACAAGCGCCTGGGAACCGACTGATTTCTGCATTCTTCGACATTATGACGAAGTTTTCATACTCACAAGATATATATCACTGTTGTGTGCGTCTGTACTTACCTAACCGCTGAAAGGCAACTATAGATCAACAGGACACTCGTCTTGAATGATGACCCTGGCGAGGGTTGGTCGTCGATATAACTGCCAAGAGTCACCAGGCCTACGCTATTGGCAGTGCCTATGTATGCAATGTAGAGAGAGCTCCGCAATTATCGCACCCGAAAGCGAAAAACCCGAGCCGGGACGAACGCGTATCAAATGGGGCTCAGACAATGAACTGCTGCTTACTGTACTAAAACGGCGCCTCAACAGGAGCCAACCAACGACAGAATGGAGCTGAAAAGTCACGTCTCGATATACACTGGCAATCTTGCAAACCGGCAGTCCGGCTGCCAACCCCAAGCCAAGATGACTTTTGCTCCACCGACACGCTGGCAAAGAAAGGCAGTGCTACCCATTTCGCCATTGTGACGAGGGACAAGAGGCGGAAGGACGAGCAGGTTGCGATACACTGGAACCATTCTAGCAATGAATGGGATAGTTTTGCCGCTGGGGTCTCCCAAACCCCTGCTCAACAGATGCTTGAAGGATCGCCAGCACATGATCTAACGCATTCATCATGATGAACACCATCCAATTAAGTTTGAGCTACTGCTGCGAGCTGATGATAGACACGGAGCAGCTGCGAAGAGGCATTTGGCGTTTCTTGATACGACATGAATTTTGAAGTTTTATGAATTGATGAAGACATGCTATCTCAAAGGACAAAGGTCGTCGTCCACTTCGTCGTCTTCATCTCTTGTTCTCTGCCCTGGGCAACCATGTCCGCTGCCAATTCCAAGTTGAGGGGGGTCTGACGTATCTTGTTTAACCATAAATCAAGGTTTCCATCACTTCGTACGTCCTGGTCCCGCGCGCAAAGCCTAAGAACCAGCAGCAATCTGCAATGTCAATTCATAGATAGGCCTATGTCAACATTACAACATCTTTTGAACTTTCTTATTTCTTTAGAAAACTGCAGGGTAAATAACGAGGAATTCCCACCCAGGACCGTGGTGGCTGGGCTTGGAACATGTTGCTTCCATTTTCGAGGTTGCATACTTAGGTACTTTGCCGACATCCACATTCACTGCCGCAGAGTACCAGACCTCCCCCTGGACACGAATCTGTTAGTGCCTACTGCGGCGCAAGTTTAGCGCAATCGCGCCAGTAGACCCTCCCCAAGGATAGTGCATCCGCCCGCTACTATAGGTACGTGCCACTTCAATGTTATTGCAAGGTTCCAAGATTGTCTGGTAGGTAGCTGCCAAGTCCAGAATCCAGAATGGTCTGGGTTGATTTATCCGTCGGCGCACCCTGGGAGGGAATGCGAGCGAGCAACCTTGGAAAGTTTTGCATCCTTCTTTCCTCTTTCCAAGTCTCTCGCTTCGCGTTGCTAATGAGTATTTGAAGATATTCATTTCTTCTCATCCTGCCGACTCTCCTTATTGTATTCAGACAACGTATCGGATAATATTCTTCATCACGACGCAAGCCACATATAAGCGCTACGATGCCCGAGGAGTCTAGTCCTATGCTGGGCGGCGGGGCAGCGACGACTACTACTGGGAGCAACCCACACGACGATATCGTGGAAGCCGACCACCACAACGACCACAAAGTGCAAGAGAGCACTGGCGCTACCGTGGCAGCGAGCCTTGTTGGAACCATTACTAGAGAGCAGCAATACGAAAATGGTTACCACTTTCCGCCCAAGTACTCGTGGCGCGAAACCATCGAACAAGGCCTCGTAGACTTTTGGGCTTTCTACAATACCGGCTTTGGTTTCTTTCTCACAATATACTCGCTCAACGTTATCGCATGGGGCGGTATGCTCTTCTTGCTACTATGCAATGCATCGCCCTGGATGTGCAATGGCGACTGCAACAACATAGACTCGCCGAGGCGGATATGGATAGAGACCGACTCCCAGATTCTCAATGCGCTCTTCTGTGTAACTGGGTTTGGCCTAGCCCCCTGGCGCTTTCGCGACCTTTATCTGCTTCTCAAGTATCGCATCAAGAAGGACACAAGGGCTCTTCGTGAGCTTGCTGGTGTCCACCGCGGCTGGTTCAGATTGGCTGGTTCCGAGTCGCTACCCCTGCGTCTTGGGCCCAAAAACATTGAAGAGACGACAACCAGCTATTCTGAACAAAGTGTACCATTGCCACTTGAAAAGATATCCGACGCCCCTCCCACGGGAATCAGAGCGCCACCAACCAAGATGTGGAAGATGGACTGCGTGGTATGGCTCAATGTGGCAAACACTCTGTTGCAGGTTTGCTTGTCGACATTCATGTGGGCTTTGAACCGCTATGACCGACCATCTTGGTCGACTGGGCTTTTTGTTTGTTTGGCATGTATTGTCGCTGGTATCGCCGGTGTCATGACGGCCATTGAGGGAAAGCACGTCAAGGCAATCGAGGGCGTTCCTCTGACCAAGAGAGACCACGAACGCTTGGCAAGAGACAAGGAGCTGGGCATACCACACTGGAATAATATCAAGGATAAGGATCCGCAGGAGAAGGAAAACAAGAAAAAGGCAAAGAAGATGGCCTCCCATGAGGAGAAGACGGCTTAGTATTATGGCCGGGACCTATTTGATTTTTTTAAAACAATCCGCTCATGAACATGGCCGGGCGTTTTAGGGCTGGTATACGAGCTTGTAGTTCCGGATAGAAATCCATCCCTCAATGAGCATAAATAATACATATCAAGATGATGAGCTCTTTCTACTCTTCTGGCGCCCATCAGCGACAAGATATACTTTCCGTGAACCTGACCCACAGGCCGGGTTTGTGCTCGAAGCAAAAGCCGACAACTCCAACGCCGACGACTCGTGCCTGCATGATGCAACAGTGTGAAATACATTGTAAATCATTCAGTTGAGTCATGGAAGAGCATCTATTGCCTCAAACGCGGTGACCTTGTCCCACCCATTGGTTGGTGTAATATTATAAAGAAACTCAACCACAAACCCCAGAGCCGCAGTGCTCCAGTGCAATGATCTACCACTCGAGATGGATATCTGTAAGTTTCAGTGTCGCAAGCTCTTCTGCTCCAAGAGTAGATTGACTCTATAGATACCCACAGCTTCTGTCATTTTCCTTTAGGAATAGCCATGAATAAATGTGGTATTCAACGAGCATGTGACTGATTCTTTACCAGATTTCCTTTTCATGTAAGTTACCTTATCGGCAGCGATCTGCGCTACGCTTAACCTAGGCCAGCTACCCCAGACTTACTAGCCAAAGGTTTTCCCCATCCTACAGTGGGTGGACACCCTGTGTCAGTGGGTGCGTCGCTGTCTATCAGGGCGGCCTATCAAGGCCCATTACGTTTGATCGGCTGATACAGTGAGCGGGTTATGCTAATCTAGCTCACAGTCCCGTGAACACCTCACCTCAACTCACCTTACTCACCTCTCGCAAGAGTTAGACCTATTCACTCATCGACTTGCTCCTACTCTTTCTTCTTGACGTTTTATCTGACTTTCATTTTTGGTCCCCGGAGGATTGAAGGGCTATACGTTGCATTACGAGTGATCACCATCCTGCCAAAACCCGACGTTTATCAATCATAATCGTCCATCTACTTCACACCGAGCTGCATCAGCTCTTGGACAACCATCACGATGGCGTCGAAAGCGTTGATACCGTTCTTGGTGGCCATGATGCTGCTAACGGGTGTATGCAATACCCTCTTGACAAAGTATCAGGTTCGTAGTCAAAACTCCCTGCCTCTGCCTGCCGCATGACGATGACTTCTAATGCGTATGCTTGCCAGGACAACCAATGCGTCCGCGATTGCGACACGGCCCACCCGAAGCTGTTCGAGCAGCCCGTCTTACAAACTGCGCAAATGTTCATCGGCGAGTCCGGCTGTTGGATCGTTGTCGGACTCATGACTTTGTACCGTAAATACTTTGGCAGCCAGACTCCGGGCGAGAACGGATATCGACCCGTGAACACCAATGACGGAACCGAAAACGAAGAAGCTGAAGGGGCCGAGAACAGCGCCGCCGCGACCAAGGGCGCAGGTTACGGTGTCCTGTCGGGGTTCAGAGTGCTGCTGCTCGCACTGCCGGCCATTTGCGACATCTGCGGCACCACCCTGATGAATGTCGGCCTCTTGATGGTGGCTGCCAGTATATACCAAATGACGCGTGGCGCATTGGTCCTGTTTGTTGGCCTCTTCAGCGTCACCTTTCTGCGACGTCGGCTGCACGCGTTTCAGTGGGTTAGTCTCGTCGGTGTCGTGCTGGGTGTCGCCATTGTTGGTCTTGCTGGTGCTATTCAACCCGATCGCAAGGCCGCCCCGGCATCGATTGCCGCCGGCGAGCCAACGGCCGAGGACCCCGCTCTTCCGGATGCTGCGAGGGTGATCATTGGCGTGCTGCTGATTGCTGGTGCTCAGATCTTCACTGCTACGCAATTCGTGCTTGAGGAGTGGATTCTAGAGCGCTCGTCGATTGAGCCGATCGCCGTGGTCGGTTGGGAAGGTCTATTTGGCTTGGTTGTCACATTGATCGGAATGCTCGTGCTGCACCTTGCCATTGGGCGAACGGATTCTGGACGCTATGGCATGTTCGACATGGTCGAAGGGTTCCGCCAAATGACCGAATACAAGGCAGTTCTTGTGTCGAGTTTCATGATCATGATTAGCATCGGGTATGTCCTTCCTTCTTGGATAGTTGCGTGCTCCCATACTAACACATGTACAGTGGTTTCAACTTCTTTGGTCTCTCTGTTACACGCAGCGTTTCTGCCACGTCTCGCTCTACTATTGACACCTGCCGTACACTCTTTATCTGGATCGTCTCCCTGGGTCTTGGCTGGGAGACGTTCAAGTGGCTGCAGGTCCTCGGATTTGCCCTGCTGGTTTACTTCACCTTCCTTTTCAACGGCATTGTCAACCCCCCTTTCAAGTTCCTCGAAGTTGATGAATCTGAAATTGAGGAACTCTTGCCCGAGGAGCCCATTGAGCACAATTGAGCAATTCTTTAGCTCGAATGGATTGGTAGCAGTAGAGACCATGTCTTTTAACTTTCAGTCTACCTCAAGAAACACTTCTGGGTCGTAGAGGCTCTTGCATTGGTCCGGCGTTTTTACGGAGTTCATTGGAGGCTGAATCGGATCTAGTATTTGTATATAGTTGACTCATATAACACGGTAAATATATCGCATGTTATCATCACAGGAGAGACAATTTCATCAGGCTGCCTTCAAATACTGATAAGGACTGAAAACATGAGATCTATGCAAGAAGGAATCGATGAGAAACCATTCAAATCAGTCATCAATCGTCTCCCAGCTACCAACATTGACAGTCCCCTCGCTCAGCACTTCTACCTTGAGGCTGCCGCCGGGGCCTTGGCCCCCTCCACCAATCTGTTCAACAACGATCCAGACCCCACGTCTGGTGATGTTTGGGTCAAGATCGAACTCGGGCGTGCGCAGACCCGCGGTCCCCAGTTCCTTGAAATCGCCTTCGCCGGTGGCCGCAATGATCTGCTTGTTGGGACCCCGGCCAGTCTCAAGGCGGAGACGAAGGGTTGTCGACTTTGGCGTGGCAATCCCCGAGTACATACTGTCCGGGGGCGTGACGAGGATACTGACGCGGGTGATGCGCGACGTGGTAATGGGCGCGCGCTGCTTGGAGTCGTCGGCGCCGCGGAACACGAGCGGCGCCAGCGCCGTGCGCAGCTTGCCGGCCGCGTCGCCGAGGACGGGCACCATGGTCACGGGCTGCATGCTGCCGACGCGCAGGGTAAACTCGGCCAGCTGGCCCGGCTCAAAGGTGCTGCAGACGACCGTGTACGTGCCGACGTCGACGTGGGGCATGTGCAGGAGGGCGCTGCCGCGGCGATAGTCGCCCGACGAGCCGGCCAGGTCGCGGTTTGCGAGGGCCGTCACGCGCTGCCCCTTGGCCCATACCAGGTCAATGTGCACGGGGAGCTCCTCGTGCGCCGTCGACAACAAGATGGACAAGGGTCCTGGCCGCGTGACGGCAATCGCGTACTGTGGATTGCTGAGGTAGCTCGGGCTCGCGGCGTTTCCGCCCGCGGTCCGCCGCGTCCATGAGCCCTGAGCCTCCGTATAGTGCGCGAGCGAGTCGGGTGCTTGTCCGATGCCCAGAGCACCCCGCGAGAAGAAGGTGAGCGTGAAGCTGTACTTTGGGAGCGGTAATCCGTGCTGAGCCACGGCAATGGTGTAGCGAACACCTTTCTTTGCTTCGAAAGGCGCTAGAGTTTGGGGTGAGTCAACGAATGGCCCACGATATAGTGATTTATCCCCCAGCGGTACACGCTTGCCCTCGGCATGATCAAAGATGTAGACCGACATGAATCCAAGGCGATTAGAGACATCAGCCAAGTGAGAAGCCGTGGGGCGCGACTTCGCAATGGCTAGCTCGTCATCCTGAAAGTGTCGTGATAGCAGGATCCAGACACTGCCAGAAGCCGTCGCGGTGAGCGAGTATTGTGGGTTGTGTGCAAAAGAATCGGACATGCTTGGAGTTGGGAGCTCCCATACAAAGTGGTGATCCTGCCGATCGGTGAACAGAGAAGGGTTCCAATTGAGGTACAATGATTCAAAGTTGTGTACCACGTCGTCAAAATCGATCCAGAACGACCCCGGCTTCAGCTTGGTTGGGTGGTCATCTGCATCAGTAGATAGTGAGCCAGCTCCTTTCCATACGAGGCCGTCGCACCACGGATTCTTGACGAGCAAGCGCCGAATGCCGGATTGTTCCGAAATGTCTAGCACTGCATAGTCATGCTCGCCTGCCAATCCTAGAGTCTCTTCCTCAACCTCGGACAAACGACCGGTTCCCAGAGTGACAACCACATCGCCATAGTCGTAAGCTTTCTTGACTCTGGACCATGTTTGATTGAAGTCGATATCTTCACTCTGCAGGAATAGCTGTTGCGGTATCCAACCGGTCAAGACCCATAGATCGGTGCCCGAGTTACTACCGGGAAAATCATAACCTCCCCGGACCTTGAGGTAGGCCTTCTCCATGAGTGCCGGCCAGATCAGTCGAGGATTTTGGCGGTCCACCACGTATAAAGTCCTCGTGTTCGACGAAGATGGCAATCTGTCGTCGATGACAACTTTTCTGAAACAGCCGTTGAAGTACATGCGGAAGACATATCTGCCACTTGTAGAGACCTTGGCCTGTCCTGTCTCGGAATCGACGGGAAACATCAATGCTGGCAGAATGGATAGCGGACCAGGACGAAAATGCTTGATGCTTGCGCAGAGACTTGCGACTACAGAGCAGTCCGTTGTGATATCCTGGACCAAGTCGTGGTCTTCGCCCGCTTCCATAAGGCTTTGCTCCTCCCGCTCATCTTGAACATCAGTGTTCCCGAAGCTTTCTATTTCGAGGGGCCGTTTCCAACCGGCGAAGACTTCAAGTTGTTTATCAGACAGCGGAAATCTCGCTTGATCCACAAATGCTTCACCAGCAAAGTCATTGGGGTCCGGATCGTGCTCCCATGGCGGAAAGATGTTGCCGTGGAGCTTGGAGCCGCGGAGCAAGATATTCTGCTCCTTGGTCGGTAGCTGACGCACCGAGCGAGGCAGCTTTAGGCGTTTCTCAACATTGCGCACGCTGTCACCAGCCTTCGCGGCTTTTTTCAAACGCTCTGCCAGTGATACCAGACTGTTGACCTTTTGTTTTAGGCGTGCTTTTTCCGATGGGTCTCGGGCCGTGTTGGCCGCCTTCATGTATAGTTCAGCAGCAGATATTGCATGATCCAGGGCTTCTTGACCAAAACACAATGATATTTGTGCCTCGCGCTCCTGATAAACGTTAATACCCTTGACAATATACTTTGTGTGTGTGTGTGTGTGTGTGAGCCAGGCTTACCCGGGCTTTGGCCTCCATCGGTACGGCTCAGATTATGTGCAGAAAGATACTCGAGCGTTGTCTAAAGACAAGTGTGATGTTGTATATCAAGGCGGATCGCCTCACGAACTGGACTAGGGGTGGGTCTGAGGTATATGCAGTCTATCCCTCGTCCTGCGTGGAAACGTAGCTCCTAATACTTCACCTTGCCACCGGTTGTCTTGGCTCCTGTGCATCGCTACCCATGGTCCCAAGCTCTTCCTGTGGGATACTGGTCTAAGCCACCGTAGAAAGCTCAGAAGCGCTGCTTGGCGACAGGTTAGGCCTCAGGTGAAGCGGCAAACGATGTTTGGAAAAAGAGGGGAAGTGGAAACTGCGCCTGTAAAGAGGCAAGGAGCAGGCCGTCTTGGCCGGATGGATGGATGGATATAATAAGGGGGCAGTCAAATGAATTCGATATGGCTGTACTATCTCGCTGGTAGATTCCCTTTGTGTCACGTCAACGGCAGCGCAGGTCAAGATGTTGCGATGAAAATGGCCAATGAGGCACTTGTAGGGCGACTCGAGAGTCTCTGCACCTTTTTCTGTCCGAATTCGGCTTAGCGGGTCCGCCGTTTTTAATATGCATGTGCTCAGGGCCTCAATAGTAATGTGTGACGATATTTTATTTGAACATTATTCATTTAATCTCTGGTCATATCGAATAAGTAATATGTTTTGATTTTGGTTTTCTGAAATAGTCGTATAATTTTCCAAAATATTTTTGATCCACGGAAGTTGCGCAAACACAAAAGTCCTGTGTCAGCCATACAAGAACCAACGTACTAAATATTACGGAGTATTATAATCATCATGATTGAAAGGTCTGGCTGACTGCAAGGCTTTGTCAAAAACTCAAACATCGGTGCTCTGAACATTTATTAAGATGTATCAGTTGAAATATGGCAGGTTGGCTACCTATGTATGTAATTGTATACCCTAGCATCCGTTGATAAGGGTATACCACTTCATGTGGCGGGTGCTTGATTCTGGCACCAAGAACCGTGTCAAAACGCTGATGACAAACCACTCGAATCTTCCTTGACCGTAGGCGTGCCGCCAGAGAGGCCTTATTAGCATCATTGTGCATATAAAAGCATATTTCATTCCATCCAGTCGACTTCAGCTCCCCTCGAACTCACGAGTTGGCTGATCCTGTCGAGCTAATGATATCTCCTTCGTGGCTAATTGTCGAGAAGCAAAGATTTCAAGCTTGTTACTTTTCAAGGTAGAAGCTCTGTCTGTATCTGTCAGGCCGTCTCCGAGTAGCTTGTCGGATTCCGTACTTCATCTACGTAGCCAAAGCTTTCACGCAGGACTCATTACAGCCCCAGCAAGCGATGTCAAATCCGAATACCGGATATCTTCGAACAGATATCGGACTATAGGGACTTTGGGGGTCCAGCGAGTATCCCAATCATGACTTCATTAGCTCTCATAAGTTCCGCGAAATGAACTTCTGCCTGCCTGGTTTTGCCTGTTACCATCACTTGAAATGGAACATAACGCTGCTGTAATATTGGCCCGACACCCGTCTGCAGTGCCCGAAAATGTGCAATAAGCCGATGTATCACCCCAGGCCTTGCGATCATGCAGCATATACCAGGGCCGAAAGGGACATACAGTGTGTCAGACAAACAAGAAGATATTTTCAATCGATCGTGGCACCATGATTTGTTGAATGAGTCACGTCATCTTATATATAGACCTTGCAGGCATCATAAGAGGCATCGGCCACGAAGTCCGACCTCGATCAAGCAGTGATGCAGGCCTGGGGAAGCCCGACCAATCAGGGAACTTTCGGACAGTTTGCCAAAGACAAATGATGCCTGACTGACATGGATGTGATTGATCTGCATCTACGCTGTTGCCTAATCTTATCAATCAGATCAAAACAATCAATATTATCTGGGGTTCGATTCCTCCTGACGCACAAACGCGATTCTAGACTTCTTATTTCCGACCCAGTGCTCTTAACTTAGAGCCCCATACCCAGAGCAACAGCGGTACCGGGCATCCGAGGCCGATGAATAAGAAAGCAAGCACGCTATTGCCCCAACCGTACCCCAGACGTGTGTATAATTGCGGTGCAAGTATGGGAAATGCAAAGCCCAGTATGTTGGAAAGCATTCGACTCGCAGCGTTGGCCGATGCTGCGTGCGAAAACTCATCGAGCAAATAGGCCAGCAGGGCCTGTGCCAACAGAAAGCTTCCACACACGAATACAGCCACCCCGACATCCACCACAGCCCAGTGCGCGCCCGTTTCGGCTGCCCATCCATACCAGAAGAGCCCGACAGGGATCAAGATGACGGGTGGTACTAGGCATGGCACTCGAAATTCTGGCGCTGTACTGCCGTCTGACGAGCGTGCCTTTTGCTTTGTAAAAACCCAATCCATGAAGCGGCCGCCCCCTTGCGTGGCGAGGGTCGTGCCGGCAGAGATGGCGATATAATGAAGAGTGCTGATGAACGCGGACTCTCCGTAACGCTGGATCCACAGCGCAGCAAATGTTGACAGCAAAAGGACGTAAACACCAAAATTCAAGGCCATGATCAGAGCTATGACTTGGATGATGGGTCGCTGCCAGAGCAGCTGCAGAGGACGACGTAGGTTCGCAGCCAGCTTGGAAGATGCCGCTTGAAAAGATGTCTGTTCTGGCATGGCACAAGCAGTCCTGTGCCTACGAGCCAGCAACACCGGGGTATAGCTTTCCTTCACAAAGACAAACCCGATGACCCAAATCAAGGCGTTGAACATGCTCAAGATGTAGAAGAGCCACGGCCAATCCAGCTTCTGCGAAATGGCACCACCCACGATAGGACCTAGTGCTGGGCCTAGATACGGCACAAAGGTCGCGATAGCAAGCGACTTGCCACGCTCTTCTTTGCGATACATGTCGGCCATGATCGGGCCTGTCAACTAATTTGCAAAACTGGTCAATACAATGGCTGAGTGTCTTGGAAGTAAGGAAATCAGGCTTACCGTGATGCCCACACTCGCACCCGAACCGGCCAAAAATCTAGCGACCACCATAAGTGCTGCCGAGCGGCCAACTGGACATACAGCGTTCCACAATATGTAAAATGCATTGCAAAAAAGCCACACCGGCTTGCGACCGTACATCTCCGAGAAAGACGCAATAGGGAACGGCGCAAAGGCGAGGCCGAGGACAAAGATGGAGAAGGTGATTTGGGTTGCAGACTCGTCAATGCCCAAATCGTGGCCGATGCGGCTTAGAGCTGATGCCATCATGGACGTCGACATTAGTGTCACCAGCTGCCCGAACGAGACAATGACGGAGATTGATATTTTGCGCAAAGGTCGCCAGTTATAAGGGTTATCTGGGTCGTCGGGGCTATCCCAGCTCCCGTGCTTTATTCAATGCGCGCCGCATTAGCAAATCCATTCAAACACGAGCAGCCGTTCGGAGTGGGTTGTTACCTCATCTTCTTCCATAGTTCGAGAAGGCTGTTGCAATCTTTCTGACGAGGGAATATCTGCTTCAAGCATCAAATTTGAGGCAATAGCGGCGGTAGGAGGATTCTCTAACTCGGACGACTTCTCATTCCCTATGGCGGTGTTTGTCGACATTTGTGTTGGCGGTGTGAAAGGGGATTGACAGTAGAGTTAGAATAAATAAATATGGAGGCTACTATAGTCATCAGATGTTCTAGCAAGTATACAATGTATGTAGATGAGGTTAAGCTTTGCTACTTGACTTGTTTTGTTTGACGAAAACATTTCAGAAGAAGAAAGGACGAGGGCTTCACACAGCTTTCATCCCAGCTTCTTTTATATCTCAGAATATGCTGCAAAGGTGTTTGATCCGTTCGCTTAGGCGGCGGAGTGTGAATATATTCCACACCCCTCATATAATAGTACTAGGTCTAATTTGAAGATTATAGATGAGCCGCCCTAGTAGAGGGTGACAAGGGAGGGTTCTCCGTGATGAATAGGTTGGTAACAAACTGCTCTACACCCTAGAAATAGGTCAATAATTCGTCGTTGCATATAATGATAATTACATCAAAAGGAATAATTAATTATTCCTCGTGCAGATATCGAAGATAAAACGTTGAAACATCAGGCAGAAGCCTACATTGTGGAGTTGCGGTGCAGGGAATAATGCAAGCTCATCTGATAGGCCTTCACATTGCATCAGCGGAGAGATTTATCAGTACCTTCCGATATTCGGTGAGAATTTATCAAGAATAAATATACTCATCGTTTGTCGTGTTGTGCTGATTGATAAATGTCCATAGTAGTGCTTACTTAATGGTACTCATGAGAAGATTGCCATTATTTTTCCACCACCGTCAACACATTTGCTGTCTACCATATCTGTGTTTCCCAAAACGAAGCGTCTATCGTTTGAGGCTCAGCAATATGGTATTCTGATACTCCAAGGATCAAGAACTCACTTTGATTGCCATGATGTATAATTCTCAGAGAGCTTCTTACTCAAGGCAGCCAATATCTGATCCAGCTTCAGGACGGGTTTGAATGTCGCGCGTCTTGATATCATAGGTGCAACTCGAGTAAAGGTAATGGCACTGGAAGCATGCTCCATGATGCATCGACCGGCGACTACCCTCCTGGAAATCACTAATGTAGCTTTGACGTCTTGAGCGTGGTCTTGTCACTAATTCAACCTTTGGAATCCATGGGAATAATATTGTGCAGATCATGGCATGGTTGGAAACGATATATAATGGCACTTAAGAAAACAGTGTCCCACAACAAGAATAAGTCTTCGTGGCTCAGTTGGTTAGAGCGTCAGTCTCATATCATATATATATGACTTGATTGAATACTTCAAGATATCTGAAGGTCGTGAGTTCGAGCCTCACCGAGGACATTGTTTTTTGCCCTGGGCTTGAAACCCTAATCATTTTTTTGGGGCTTGTTATCTCAAGGCTAATTGAACCGCTCTTCATCGCTCCGTACAGCAGCGACTTGTCCAGGAATACCTGGTGGGTGACAGATATTTACTGACAGATGTATAAATTACTGTTCAAGTTATTCATACAGACACTATAGCATCAACCTGATCTCGATTTCTCGTTATCATGGGCCATTGTGTGATAACTCGAGCTTGCACTTGACTGTAGGATCGTCGCATGCTTGCTTGCATGACTGTCCTCGACTAGTGTGTGTATACACAGACTCATAGATGCAGCGACAGAAATTTAGAGGCTCGGGTGAGCAAATTGCAACCGAGCCGCTATAAATTCAGAAACATGAGAATTAGTCCTTGACAAACGGAGTTTGAACGTCAAGGCGGACTTTGAAATGCGAGGTGAGCAGCGAGTGCTAGAGAGCGCTTCATGGCCGGTAAAAGAAACCCCGTTAAGATTACCCATCAACAATAATGGGCCCGGCTCGTCACCCGGCTTACAGGTACTATGGTACTGTCGGCAGGCCTCAATGGCTGGAGCTGAAGGACTGAGTAACAACAAGCTTTTCCCAAAGAATGAGGACTTTACTTTGAATTAAAGCAACAGTGTACCAATCATAATGATGACGAGAGAGCCTTCCATAGTAGTGGTGGCTTTTCCCGAACGTTCTCTTGTAAAGTAATATCCAACTATTCGTACTTTACATGTACCTACAGAAGCGGTCCAACGGATGACGTTGAGGAATACAGGTAGTACATAGTATAATGATCGAGACAATGGGAAACTTGGGGCATCGTTTTTACTGCGCTCAATCCACATTCCAGTGGGCTGCAAAAACCGGCAGTTCGGTTCCCCAGCGTTAACCTTGAGCGCTTGCCGAGCGGTCGGAGCTAGCGGATAACGTGAGATGATAAGGGAAATGGCCGAGGTTCGTTCTGCTGTCATACCTCCCGTGCCAATCCCATCCAGCATCCGCGGGCGGTTTCGACTCGTGAAAATCGACCTCCTCTGATCTTCTCGAAATCACCGATTTCCCAGCGGTCAACTTTCCTCCACTTTTGTGCGATTCATTTTAGAGGAAACCAATACTGCAACGACGAGTGCGACCCGGTCAATTCCCAAGAGACACCCTGGGCACTGATCTTTCTGGTTGCGACCGACCGACCGACCGTCTTAGCTAATTTCATACCGAGGTCGCAGCGTCCTTAGCAGCACAGAACCCGCGGCGCGGACTGCGAACCTGGCAAAAAAGACTCCTAGTGATCGCACACGATACTTTTGCCGTTCGCTGACTTCATTTTCTCTTCGATCGGTCGAGCTATCTCTCCTGAAAGCAGGGCAAGCGACAACCACCTAATATCCAAATGGCTGTACAATCCAAAGCTGCCCCGCTGCCCCCGTGGGGCTTCGCGGTTGCTGGATCTACTGGTGCTGTCCTGGCAAATGCACTGGTCTACCCCTTGGATATGTAAGACTGCGCGCTCTTGTGGCCATCTATACATGACGCATTTCTCTTGCTTCCCAGACTGACAATATTGTTCCGCGCAGAGTGAAAACGAGATTGCAGGTCCAAGTGAAGCGCAAAGACGGAGAGCCCGGGCACGAAGGCGGCGAGCCGCATTACACCTCAACGTGGGACGCTATCACCAAGATTGTGGCGGAGGATGGCCTCGAGGGGTTATATAATGGAATCAGTGGATCGTTGCTGGGTGTGGCATCGACCAACTTTGCCTACTTCTACTGGTACTCGACGGTCCGAACATTGTACTTGAAATCCCAGAAGACCGCCAGCCCTCCATCGACATTGGTAGAACTGAGCCTCGGTGCCATTGCAGGAGCGCTGGCGCAAGTGTGCACGATCCCCGTCGCCGTTATCACGACTCGGCAGCAGACACAGAGCAAACACGAGAGGAAAGGCTTCCTGGAAACTGGTCGAGAGGTGATTGCTAGTGAAGATGGCGTTTCCGGGCTCTGGAGAGGTCTGAAGGCGAGCTTGGTTCTCGTGGTGAATCCCTCAATTACATATGGTGCCTATGAGCGCCTCAAGACACGCATGTTCCCCGGAAAGGCACGCCTCACGGCCGGTGAAGCTTTCTGTAAGTAAAAGCGGTCGGTTGTGAGTGGATAAGTTTGTTGTTTTTTGTTGCTGACCCCATCTCTCAGTACTTGGTGCCATGTCCAAAGCTCTGGCAACGATTGCCACACAACCCTTGATTGTTGCCAAGGTCGGGCTGCAATCCAAGCCTCCTCCGATTAGACAAGGAAAGCCCTTCAAGGGCTTCATCGAAGTGATGCAATTCATCATTAAGCACGAGGGTGCTCTGGGCCTGTTTAAGGGAATAGGCCCCCAGATCCTGAAAGGGCTGCTGGTTCAAGGCATCCTAATGATGACAAAAGAACGGTGAGTTTCTCCCCAAATGGTCCCGACCATCCAGTGCTGACTTTTTTGGTGTTTAGTATGGAGTTGCTCTTCATCTTATTGTTCCGTTATGTGCGCCAAGCAAGGGCAAAGCAATTGGCTGCTGCCATGGAGTTGGCATCAAAGGCCAAAGCTGCAGTCCCACTCACCGTGAAATAGACGCTGGACATCGTGGACGGACTGACGGATAATGATTTTCTTGGCAACTGGGCTAGATCCTGGATTGTAAATATGGCCGTTGATCGACTTGCATGAGGCGTTCTTTTGTTGGTGAATAGATATAAAATGGCAGATCTTCAGATGCACGAGACTTGACGGGTAATGTCATGGTAGTAGTAGTTACCTATGATATGGAACCAATATGAATGTGCAGTTACTAGCCAAAGAAAATCACACCAGTCTGGGCCTGTGCTGGCACTATCAAAAGCTGTCAGCTGCTCACATGGCTCTGACGGCCCGAGACTTTGCTTGGGTCGTTCAACTGTGCAATGGGTTTGATGACGAGCTAGTGTGGCTGCTGCGGTGGCTAGGCCTAGTCCAAAGTTTTGTGGCTGACGCCTGCTTAGGGCCCGGCAATCCAGACCAATCCCACCAGAATTATCGCCTGCCAACGGAGACGAGCCAAAAATCCACGAAAATCAAGTTCCCTTGACCCTTTGCATCACCACCCCAGACAACCACACAGAAATCTGTCGCGATGGCCAGTAAGTTGCCGACGATGACTTAAATGGCCATGGGAAGACATTGACTAATGGTTTTCCACAGAGTCCAAGAACTCGTCCCAGCACAACCAGTCGAAGAAGGCTCACCGCAATGGGTACGTCGAAATGCCCCGATCCCGATGATCGATCCTTTTCTGCACGATATCGAAAAGAAAATGCAACAACGCCTGGCAGCGGCTGGCTGGCTCGCATTTTTCGAAAGAAGAGAACTGGACGCTGACCCGTGAGGAACGCAGTATCAAGAAGCCTAAGACTTCGCGTTACCCTTCGCTGAAGGGAACCGACCCCAAGTTCCGCAGAAACCACAGACACGCTCTGCACGGCACCATGAAGGCTCTGGTACGACAGCCCCCCGATACCCACGAATGCAAGGTTGGCAGGCGATCATGAATACTGACAATTCCTCACAGAAGGAGAAGGCCGAGGGCAAGCGCGAGACCGCATAAATTCTGTTTCGACTTCCCGGCGCAAGGTCATGAAGGTACGGCGTGCATCGATGGCGAGTTCAGGAACTTTTCGGACATGATTCTGGGGGAATTATGACTTGCATTTGGCTTTTACATACGGAACCGTCTTCACAGGAGATGATGATGAATCCATCGGCCACCGCGCCACGATGACAACCAAACCGACCCAGTCTTGAGCATCCCCGATTGGTGACTTGACCTATTCGACAGATCCCCCATCCACTGGCGACGCATATCACAAGTGACCAAATGTAGCGCAAGTCCTGCGCAAATTGGACCGGCATTAGTGTGTACAGCTCTGAGCTTCTCCCCGTGCTCATTTTGCTGAAGGATTTTTTCTTCGTGCCGAGATCAACCTTGTCCGTTTATTACCAAACATCAGTGCTCAATTATTTCGAACGCAAAGGTGTATGAAGACTGGGCTACATTATGATTTACCGTATCCATGTTTTTTTTAACTAATCCAAAGTGCGGCAATGGGCATCAGCATTGGTTGACAATTGTTCTTGATGCCCGGATTACCAACTTGACAGCTGCTTTCAATCAAGTCCAGAATTGTCCACGGCCCGACCAGTCTCTGAGATGCACCTCTGCACATTCCTTGTTTCATCCTTTCCGATCTGATTCCCGTATGAGCATTCTACATCAAGGACTGAAGGATACAACATGAAACGATTAAAAGCAAGTTTTCGTACTTGTGCGGCAAAGACAAGTAACGTGCCAGTCCTGTGTGCGGTCTATTGCATTGTATCACAGAGTAGAGAGTACTTGTAAATTATGTTGTGTATTCTCCCGCCTGTGTGTTGACACATTGTTGCGGCAAGCGCCGGGCTTGTCTCAGCCAGGACTCGAGTCACAATCCGTTGCAGACGATGATGATTATGCCTGACAGTGATCTTGATATTGACATAGCAACGAGAGGAAAAATACATATACTGAAATGTAAATAACACTTTTGAATGCAGTGTCTCAGTACAGCAAATCGACTTAAAAAGTGTACGGGAGTTTTGCGTATAAGTGGGTGAATGATTTCTATGTGCTTGGCACTTACAATGTGGTGCAAAAATGCTGGATCCTGAGGGAGCCCACTACGAAGCAATCCAATGTTCTTAGGGATCATAGATAACAACGACCCTTGGCTACCAAAATTGAGTAGCTTATGATTAAATATCCTACATGTCCTAGATATTGGGCACAAAAATTACACGATTCAGCCAGACCATTAATATTCGACGAATCCTATAGTCCTACACTTTGACACTGGGACTAGAGATGCCGGCATATTGATGAATGAACATGTCGTGGTGGTACAGCGAAGCTGAGCTGCAAGACCCCTGACTTGGACGTGCAGTATGCGCTGTAGTGTAGAGCTTTATTGCCACACCCGCCCGCCTTGTCCGATCCTCGTCACAGCTGGGTAAGGCTGCGGGTTGGAGTTTTCTTGACTCAACGATCTGCGGAACAGACTTCGACTAAACACTCCCGAGGTCGGGAAACAATCGAGTACAACGGGCTACAGAGGGGGGGAGGGTGAGCTCGATCCTTGGTCACACAATAAATGTAGGATGCACCTGATGTACCGCAGGAACCAGCAGTCGTACCGTTCCTCTGTGATGGACCAGCGTTTAAAAGTTCCAAGGAATTCGAGGAATGGTCAGGAATCAGATAGATATCAACGCGCGGAAGGGGTTCGCTGAAAGGGGGGCCCGTATTCAAGTAAATGGGACTCTAGAACAGGCCGCCAATCGTTAGTTCAGCACCGTTCCAGCGAGCCGAGAACACGACTAGAGCCTCTGTAAAATCCGACTGGCTGAAGGGGGACCCCCCTCTAGATCCCCCACTCGTGGCTTGGAACCCACCTGAAGAGAGCGTACATTAATGGTAAGTGGTGGCCGATTTGGGCGGGTTTTGGGGGGAGGGAGGGCTCAAAGAAGCCATGATTCTCATGCAGATATCGAGTTAATGTAGGTGAGCAGTCAGCTTTGTTGCATTGATCCTTGGGTTTCTTTGTGACGTGCGCGTCCCTATTGAAAAGTGACTTTTGATCGCACTTGCGATAGAACATCGTATGAAGAAGCACACTTGCTATTGGAGGAAGAGAACGTTTGCATCACCACACGCTGCGTGGAACTGTAGAAAAGCGCATTTCCCTATCATTATCTATTTTTTTGGGACAGGTTTTCCTAGGCCACTAGAGCCTCGACACAGCGTAGTGCACATCACTTGGCCCCCCCAAAAGGCCCTTGTCGTATCCTCTCACGGGCCACCGATCTACCCCCGTTCCGGCTCGCCAGGGTCGTCGCGCCGTTTCAAGTGCCCTGTCCGTCGAGAAGCTGCCTGACCAAAGAAAGACAAGACTGGTTCGAATTCGACACTGGCACAAAAGTGTTCCAACCGACCACCTCGCAACTCTTCCCAGTTGCTCTCTTTTTTTCTCTTCCCTTCCCTTCAGCGTTTACAAAGCTACGATAGTGCACATCTTTCTCAGTGCCTGCTCATTAGGCACCTTCTGCTTCGACCCACCTCCTTGGTGCGTTCGCTATAGGTGTCTCAAGGTGATCTTTGTGTGTGCTCAAGCTGCTGTAACTGTAGCTCGCTCGATCGATCGCCATGAACCGTAACAGCACCCCCGAAGGAAGCGCCCTGTCCTCGCTCCGACCACCGCAGTCGAGGACATCAGTCGGCGCCGGTCCCTCCCTGCGAGCCTCTGCCGACGTCGCCGCCATGACGGGCAGCACACCCGCCAGCCGAATCCGTCCCTCGTCAGACTTCTACGGCCAGTCCCAGGGCCAGGGCCAAGGAGGTATTGATTCGGAGGACAAGATGACACAGCAGTGGATTGCCGACATAGACCAGTACGAGACCACGCTCGAGGAGATGGCCGCGGCTACGCTGGACCAGGACTTCAAGGATGAACTCAGCGCTATTGAACAGTGGTTCCGGGTCCTGTCCGAAGCTGAGCGCACTGCTGCCCTCTACGCTCTGCTACAACAGACTACCCAGGTCCAGATTCGTTTTTTTATTCAAGTCCTTCAACAGATGGGTAAGAACCATCCGATGTCAGGCGTCCTGTCACCAGCAAACTTCGACAAAGGTGCGTATACTCCATGGCTTTTTACGATGTACAGGCGTGGCCCCTTATCCTCGCGGAAAATTTGACTAACCTGTCATGTAGATCCCATGTCGAACCGTCTGAGCGACGCTATGAATAAACTCAACGTGAACTCATCCAGAAACTCTATGCCCCAGGCTTCTGCCAAGAGATTCTCTGGGCTCGAGCCGTCAACCATCAATGCCATGTTCCCAGACGCTGCCGCGGCTATTGCTACTGAAAAGGCAAAGTTCACCCAGCAAACTGGCCAGCAGCCACCCTCGAACCGCAACAGCACTGTGGTCGATGTGAGAAACTCGCTCGCTCCAACCATTGCAGAGGAGTCAAACGGTCAGCACCCTTCTTCTCCCTGGGGCGACGGTTCGAGACCTAAGTCTTCCTCAGGCCAGCCGCCTATGGGACAATTCGTGCAGCCTCCTCCTTCAGCGGGATTAAGATCGCCTCGCCCTCAGATCGGATCGAACCAGAACATTCAAAGTCAAACAATTAATGCTCCCGACAAATCCGCATCCGACCTGCCCCTTCTTTCGCCTTACGGAGCTAGCGGGAACTGGGCGTCCATGGTGAATACGCCCATGGTCCCCAACTTCAACAATGGTGCGCCAAACCAAGCCGACATGGTAGCCAATGCCACTGCTATGAAGCTTGCCGCACTTTCTACAGTCAACAACCGCTTTGCCCTCGACGATGTCCGCAAGTACCGCCGAGCACGTTCCAACGATGCCCCCGGTGCTGCCCAGAACCCGCTGTCCCCAGGCCTGCCGGGTGGCCTTCCTAGTACCAATGTTGTTATGATTAACGAGCACGGTCAAGTACTGAATCGCGACCAGCTACTTGCCATTCAGAATCAGCAGGCCATGGGCGGTTTCGGCTCGCGCTCAAGGCCCAGCTCGCCAGGCATTGCCATGCAGGGAGGATTCGGCGGCATGGGCAACTTTGCTTCGCCGCAGAACAACGGCTTTTTGACAGCCTACGATTCAAACAACCCACTACTGAACAACGGATTGAACATGGGTCAACTTGGTCTGGGACCGGACACTTATCTATCTGACTCTGACATGCGGCGTGGACGATCCCCTCGCGGTCGCCGTGGCAGCTCCAAGCCTCCGGAGGACCCGACTGACCCCTCGCTGCTTCAAGATATCCCTGCATGGCTGCGTTCGCTCCGACTGCACAAGTACACGGACAATCTCAAGGACATGCAGTGGACTGACTTGGTCGAACTTGACGACAAAGCTCTCGAGGATCGAGGCGTCAATGCGCTAGGCGCACGTAGAAAGATGTTGAAGGTTTTCGAGCAGGTCAAGGGTAAGTCACCAACGGTGTTTTGCACACAAGATATCGTGGCTAACATGTCAATACAGAAGCCAAGGCCGATGGCAAGCTGAGCTAGCCTGTTGACCATTAATATGCAGCGAGTCGAGCATTTATGGAGCGTCTATTTGCCAGGCAGGTACGTGGCTTGATTTACAGAGAATCGAATACTGGGGCTGGCATCCCGCTACGAAATGATACCAAACCGTCTGCTATATACGCGACTCAGGAAGTCTAAGACTGAATATTTCAGAAAGTTGGCACGTGTGATGTGATTATAAGGGGTGGATGGCTGATAAAACAAAGTTGGAAATAGGGGCAAAGATTCAGAGCACGAAAATAAGAGTTGGGAAGTCAACCAAGTATTTGTATGTATAAAGTGTGCAGAGGAGTCGAACTCTGTTTCGAGAAATTGAAAATTACAACCACATGCATCGAGTTAATTGTCTATATCCCTACGTACTGCAGACCATTGTCTGCTTTTGTCGTCGTATTCATTATTCAACTATAAGCGACTTGAAAACAGCCACGCCAAACAGTAATGCTGTTTACTTGAGCGCCAGGGTTTACAGGTTTGCCAAGAAAACATGATAGCAGTAATGAGAATTTCCAGTAATGTGGAAGAATGGCGCATAAATGTTTCATAGATGATTTGCAATCTTTGTTTCAACTGGATAAATGTGTTACAGGACTGGTGTTTCTATGAACGAGCAGTAGTGCTTGTGGCAGCTGACACGGCCGAGTGCCCAGCTGCTCGGCAACGGCAGCCCGACTTCTCAAGATTCGTGGACATGCCAAGAGCGCAAGCACGATTTAATAAACCTTGAAAACCATAGATGGTACATACACCACACAATTGATACGCACCTTTGCGAAATCGCGAAATCATTACGTATCTCTTTCCAAAACAAACACTACTGCAATCTCGTTATTGTGGTGAAACCACATCATCAAAGTTACTTGAAAGCCTGGAAACTTTTTGAGTCCTGGAGCATGTCCCGGATCACCTGGCTTGAAAGAAAGATTGGGGATCATCGCGAGTGTGGATGAAAGAAAGCGGCTCTGGCGTCACCAATTATCTCAGCTTTTATTATCGCCAATTTGCGGTTTTGCAGGGTTTTTCGCAGGTCAACGCGTTCTTCTGCTGTGACGCGAAGGTTTGCTATTGAAACAACTTTTTCTCCGGCTTTAGAACGATAGCGAAGAAGTCCAGGGCGCGGAGCCTTGGACCTGGATGCTTGAAGAGTTGAACGGCAGAATCTGCAAGGACACAAGGAGGGAGCTTTATCATGAAGCCTTCTCTAGATCCCGCCTACATCGCTAGGCAAATCATGGCCCGTAACAATGCGCCAACAGGGCCTTCAGAGTCGCAACAAGACGCCGGGTCGCCAGCTCCCGTCGAAGACTCAATGGCTGCTGCAGCTGCAACACCTGCCAAGATGCTGCCTACAGCGTCAAACCAACCACTCCCGCCTTCTCTGACCCCGATCGCGTCAACCCAGCCCGGATGGAATTCTGAGTACGTGTTTGGACTGCGCGAAGCGCAACCTCCAGGGGCTCGACCCCTACTGCAGTCCCAGGAGCAACCTCACAAACGCCAAAGGCGCTCTTCCTCCTCTAGTTCAGGAGAAAGTAGTAGGAGAGGGCAGGGCAGAGGCGGAGCAGCACAACCCTTCGGACCATCACCCGCCAACGATCAAGCCACAATCGATGCGTTGCAATTAGACACAAATCGAGAATCACGGATACCGCTTCCGAGCCTGTCATCAGATTACCAAGGTTCAAGTAAACTTCCAGGCCCCCAACCTGGCACACCCAATATGCCGACTCCTAACCATGCCACAATGTTCCCGCCTCCTCCGACTCTAGGTGGCTTCCAGCCTCAACAGTATCCGCCTGCCAACCACCACCCTGTGCAATCTATGCATGGAACATATCCTCATACCTTTAACGGCATTCAAGGAGCCACACCTACGCCACATCGTACCATGGATGGCCAACATGCAGCCATTATGCCTAGCCAGCAGCAGCAGCAAGGACAGGCTTATCCCGCGTCTTACTCCCTTGCGTCTCAACAGTCATATCAAATGACCTATCAGCCGTCTCTGACGCACGTTATGCACTCCAACCCATCAAACCCACAAATTCCATATTCGGGGGCGGCGGCAAGTACTCGTGGACATACAATGGCTAACGCCAGTGGTTTCGAGCAGTATGGACAAGCAACAGAGCTTCGTGGCGAGGCATTGGAGGAAGAAGAAGAAGACGAACTGGACTTGGACGAGCTGGGCGACGATCCGCTGTTGGCAATGCAGAACAACTTGACCACCTTTGAAGATTCTGTACGCAGCTTCGCAGCCGGAGGGAGCGAGAAAAGCTTGCTTTCTCAGTTTCGCGAAAAGCCGCAACAGCCTCGTGAGAAGAAAATCATAAAGCGAGGTCCTCGCAAAGCTGCTGAACCTACTGGCGATGTGAAACTACGCCTCAGTGCCGCCACAAATGCATTCATGAGTGGCGAGTTAGATGAGGCTCTGCGCCAGGTCAACGACGCCATTAGGCTCAATGCAGAAATCCACCGTTCTTGGTCGCTTCTGTCTGAGATTCTGCGAGAGAGGGGAGAATATAAACAAAGTCTCACTGCTGCTGTGTGTGCTGCTCATCTGCAGCCCAAAATATTCGACGTTTGGCTGGACTGCGGTCGTTTCGCGCTAGAACTTATTGATGCAGAGCCAGACGATGCCGAGGACACCCTCAAGATCGCAATAATGGTCTTTTCCCAAGCCATTAAAATTCAACCAGATAACCTTGATACCCGCCAAACCCGTGCTGCCTTGTATTTGACGAGGCAAAGCTACAAACTCGCAGTAGGCGAGTACAATTTCATCATCGAGCGAGAACCATATGATCTTCTCGCCCTTCGAGGCTTGGCTGATGCCTCGGTGCAGCTGTTTGAGAGCAACAGGAGGTATTCCGATAGGCAGAGATGGGAGGCACGGGATGCCTATCAACGCGCGATTGATCATTATCGAGCCGAATTTCCAATGGGTGCAGAGAACGAAGAGCTTCCATTCACGTGGGACGACGTCTTCACATTTACGGCGCTCCTGGTCCACCTAGAGCAGTATGGTGCCGCTTTGGATGCAACCCGGTCACTATCACGATGGCTTCTAGGACGTGCTGAGGAATCTTTCTGGGACGACATCCAGGATGATAGGGAATGGGATGTCAATGAACGACGTCGTCTTGATGTTCCACATTTCGAGGAAAAGAAGTATCCAGTGGAAACATACGGAGTCAGCTTACCCCTCCGCCTCAGAATCAATTTGGCCATTTGTCGCCTCAGATTAGACAGAAACACTGATGACGAGGCCGTGCAACATTTGGAATTCCTCGACCCTGCAGACATAGACACCGACGACGAATCACAGCAATCAGAGCTCTTCTTGGAAGTTGCCTCAACATTATATGAAACTAAGCGACTCGCAAAAGCCCTTCCATTCTACGAACCTCTGCGACGACAGGAGGATCTACTAGATGCACTCTCTTTGTACCGTGCTGGAAAATGCTACCTAGAAATCGAAGATAGGCGACAGGCTGAAGAGTGTTTCACAGCAGCTTTGGATTTTGACGAAACCCCATCCGATGTCCGTATCAACGCGCGATACGAATTAGCTAGAATGTACGAGGCTGCAAGGAAGAATGAGGAAGCCTTGTATCTGCTCGAAGAGGCCATGGGCATCGAAAGGGAACAAAAGGAAGTTTCTGGCAGCTCGGGTGCTGAGCCGGCGCGACGGGAGGCCCGCCCGAGAATCATTCGCAACCTTGCGCCAAAGCCAGTGCTGGATAAACCACCAGTAGAACCTCGGGCTCCCAGGGAAAGAAAAGCACCTGCTCCCAAGAAACCTCGACAGCCTGGAGAGAAGAAGCCGCCGAGAGAGAGAATGAGTCGCCCAAGACCTCTGCTGTTCGCTCTCGACGAAGACCGCAAACTGGAAGAGGAACGAAGATCCGCATATCTGGCAGAGAGGTGGCGCATTATTCATGAGCAAAGGGAGGAATCCGAGCATGGACCTGGAGCAGCCTGGATGGCCGCTGCCAAGATCCTCGTTGATGATTTCCGCTCCTTCAAGGCATTCTACCCTTGGGATAGATATCTGGCTCAGATGGGTTTGCAAAAGGACGAATCTGCCACTTCTGCCAATCCTCACCTGCTCAAGATGGTCCAACGACTAAGAGGCGAAGTCGACGCCCAGCAATCCGCTGTTAACTCCCGCAAGCTAGCTGAGACGACTGTTAGTTACAGAAATGTCGAGTTCAGGGCATGGCTTGATCTATTCTTGGAGTATGCACTCAGTCTTGCGCTCGCCGATCGCATCAAGGAAGCATATGACGTGTGCGATGCAGCCCTGGCAGCCAATGTCTTTTTTGAGAACCCTGAAGACAAATTCCTTGCCAATATAGCGAAAGCAGCTTGTGCTGTGCGTGGGAGAGATGAGGAGACATGCGTCGAAGTGGCACGCAGTTTCATGGCGAGCTTCCAGTTCTGCTCTGATGCATTCCGCATGTATGCCGCCCTGGGCAGGCTGGCCCATTCCTCGGGGACGTGGTTCGCGCATTCCAAGGTGCAAAAGTTCACACTGCGGCAGATCAAGATGATGGATGCCAAGTTGCTTCCGGCCGAAAAGAAGACCAGACTTCTCGAACAATTTGATTCGAAACTCTACCCATCGACAGAGCAGGATGTCCAATTATTGATGTTGTATGGCCATATTCTGTTCATCTCCAACAGCTTTACTTTTGCGCTAAACTATTTCGTGCGGGCTGCGGCTTTGGACCCGGACAACCTCATGGTGAACATCAGTATTGGACAGGCCTACCTTCACTACGGGCTCAAGCGGCAGACGGAAAATCGACAACAGTCCATCACGCAAGGCTTGCTGTTCCTGCACCGTTACTACGACATGAAGCTAGCCCAGGCCCTGACGTCGGGACAGAGGCAAGAGGCGCACTACAATTTGGCGCGGACTTACCACGAGATTGGGCTAGCCCATCTGGCAGCAGAGTTTTACAGACGAGTCTTTCGTGAAGTTGAGAGCGAAGGCGATGGATTAGGGCATGAGGACCTGGCTAGAGAGGCGGCATTCAACCTACAGCAATTTTGTCTGATAGGGGGTGACATGGAGGCGGTCCGGGACCTCAGCGAACGATGGCTTGTCCTGTAAACAAGTTTATTGATGACAAGATTAGTAGACAGTCAGAGTCATCAATCCAACATTTTCAAATCTCTGTGAAGATCAATCTGACATCAGCAACAGGAGCAGCAGCGGAGGGTACTGTTGTTATATACTAGTATTGTACTTCTGTTTTAAGCTCGGCAGACTGCCCGTGTTTATATTGTGAGATGCTCTTTCGGCATGGTTGGAACATTCCATAGAAGCAGGTCAACATGATGATCGACTAACCCCAACGCTGAATGGCTTCCACGTGGACAACGGGCCAGGCACCTTGGCGACCCCTAGATTTATTGTGGAAACGACCCCCTACTCTAGTATACTAGCAGCTAAAGGTGACACTATAACCACCGACCCGAGGGCCGAAGCACGCACACTAGTCGCTAGATGCGCTGCCACGACGCACGTCAAACGATTCTGGTTCTGATTCCGAGACTACGGGGACACTATCGCAGGTCCACGATGTCGCCAATGTTTCCTCTTGTGGCACCGATTGGTCCAGTCCACCACTGAGGCGGGAACATAATAGTCTCTTCTAAAAATGCGTTCCGTTTCAACCCCGCTATCGCCATTAACCGTTTCTCATCTTCCGCTCATTCATAATTCTATTCCGCGAGAGAGAGAGTAAATATTTAAACATACTAGCCATCCTTTGATCCGTTGCTCCTTTCGAGATTTCACTATATCACCAACTCGCAACCAAAAAATAAAAATAAAAATCAAGGCGACACCCGATCAAAATGGAAAAGGACGCAAACGGTACAATTACAGTCTCGGAGCTGGGCAAGCCTCGCCGATACATCACTGACCATGATGCCGATGGAAAGGGTGTATTCAACAAGTCCTTTGAAGAGGACATTGGCTCGACGGTCCTGCCGGGCATTCTCCTCTATGATACATTTCTCCAGACTCAGACCCCGATTCAAATGAACAATGGCGAGGACCTGAAGAACATGAAGGCGGCTCAACCTCATGCCGGTCTGTGAGTAACGCATTTCTCTTTCTCAACCTTGCTTCTTCTGCCAAGGTCATTCTCAAAAGATGGGGTGGGGTTTTTTGCTAATGCCTGGAGATTCTCAACAGCGTCGCCGACGGAACCACTGTGGTCCGCTTTGTCGACTTTATGCCCGGCACACCGGCCATTTACCACCGTACGGCGTCGGTGGACTTTGCCGTGCTCATCTCGGGCGAGCTGGAGCTGCTGCTGGACTCGGGCGAGAAGCGGCTGCTCAAGCCCGGCGACCACGTGGTGCAGCGCGGCACCAAGCACGCCTGGCTGAACCCGCACCCCACGGCCGTCGCGCGCGCCTTTTTTGTCCAGTCCTCGAGCGCGCCCCTCGTCATCGAGGGCGAGGAGCTCGGCGAGTCGATAGAGTGGCCCGAGGAGATTCAGAAACAGCTCGAGCAACAGGCTGCTCAGGCTGCTCAGACTCAGGAGGCTCAAAAGTAAGCCCATGGTGTGGAGCATGAGGGACGAAGAGAAAATTCAACAAGTTAAACAAAGGAAAAGAAAGTAAATAGCAACGAGCGAAAGCCAAGACCCGGAAGAACAACAGATACCCTTAGAATATAGATACACATTTGCATGTTGTTTGAAGTCAAGGATAAAACGTAGCTATTTTTTTTTTTATTGAAAATGCCGACTGGTCTGTCTACCCAGAACCCTGTAAGTTGTGGCATACGTGTACGACGCCATTGGGAATTTATCCATCTAATAATAAAATATCCGCTCCCGTGTGTGTATGCTACGCTTCGTATATGCTAGTTGTTTCTTGATCTCATGAGTGAATCGACTCTGTCTCTTTGTGTATTTTTCTCAAGGAGCCCGATGACGTTGATTAAATATTAATTGAAATTTTCGTAAATGCTTTATGCAAACGATCGATTCGACGCAACCTCCTTGTTATCACTGTTACTTGACAGATTATCCGAGACCTGGACCGATGTCTCCTTCTTGATGGAGATACCGAGCATGGCGGCGGCTTTGCCCTCCTCGGCCGCCCGCTCCTGGTTGTTGCCACTGTGGTGGTAGCTGACGGTGGTGTGGGAGACGCCCTTTGGGTTCCCGTCGAACCCGTGCCCCTCAAAGTCGCTGCTGTGGTTGTCCAGGCTGTTGCCCCCGCGGTGGCTATTGTTGGCCAGCCCAAACACCGAGCTATCCTCGTCGCTGCCCTTGACCCCCGGCATCGACTCGAGCTTGATCGACTTCTTGTTGGCGCCACTACGTAGGCCGCTGCGCGTATAGATATTGTTGACGCCCTCGGAACCTGGACCGGAGCCTAGCGTCGTGGGTAGCCAGCGGCCAAAGAAGAACATGAAGGCTGGTCGAATAGTCGGGAAGCAAGCTGTAGGCACACAAAGAACAATGTCAGTCTTTGTCAATTGTTTGCGATTGTCTATTCCTCCGGCTTTCAAGGGCGGGCTTACCAGAGACGGTCACCAGGTTGACTTCTGCGCTCGCCCAAGTGACAATGTCTGTCACGTTCCATGTAATATCGACGGATGTTGTGTCAAAGTTTGCGGCACCGACAATGATGGCAACGGCACAGACGCAAATGCTAGAGGAGAAAAGAAACATTAGCACCCGAGTGGACGACCTGCTGGCGGTTGGAACAAACACGGGGAGCCAATTGCTTACGTGAAACCAAATGTGAACATGGCAATGATACCAATCTTTTGCATCTTTCGGAGCTGAAGCTTGCCAATCTGGAAGACGGGCAGACTCAGGATCATGACGTCGATGAGCAAGTGGACGAGCACACTTCCAAAGAAGAACTTCTTGTCGTCAATATCGCAGCGAGCGTCCACAATCGTGAGGTCCCAAAACGCTCGCACGGGAACGCAGTGGAAGATGGCCATGAATGTCTATATCTCCAAGTCAGCAATCAAAGCCGTAGGATGCGCCATAGGCTTAATTGTCGAAAAACATACTCTGATGATGATCCATATTGTCGACATGACCATGAGGGCGATCATGGGATATCGCAGATTGGTAACATTGAACAAACGCCCTGCATGGGTTAGACAAGGGGATTCTTGGTAGCCATGTTCGGGTTATGGTTATGCTTACAGTAGAAGAGCAGAACAGACATTTTGGCGAAATATAAGCCAAATGCGTATATGATCTCAGCAATGTATAGCATCAATTTCGATTGATAAATTGCTTGGTTCAGCGTGAGCCAGGTCACATCCTCAATGTGCATTCCCAGGCCGTTTGCCATCCCTGGAGAAATTGGTCAGTCAGCAATTCTCATTCATGATACTCAAAAATAACAAGTCAAGACATCCTCTAGTCAGCTTACATATTGGGCAGGTGATAAGCCAAGCAATTGCGACGACATAGGCTCCAATGGCAAAGTAGTCATCCCACCAAAAAGACGCCTTTTTCAAAAAACGACTGAATAATCGGAATAGGAGACAAACTGTGGCCAACACAAAGGTTACAATCAGAACTGCCCAAATAGTGGGCTGTTTCGATTCCATTGTCGGCGACCAGAATTTCCCACCAGCAAAAGTGCAACTCCGAAAGAGAAGAAGAAGAAGAAGGAAAAAATCAAACAACGCAACAACACCGGACGACGACGACAGTGGCGGCGACAGCAACAACTACACTCACGAACGAGGAGCAAGCATGACCCGAGATGTTTTAAGATGTCTCAGAAGGCTGAGGACTATCTACAGGAGAAAATTCTTGGGCAGAGAGCGATTTGAATAGCCGTAAGACATGGGGTAGATCCAAAGATAAACTTTTGCCCGTGAAATCTCAAATCTCAGTAGTACAAGACTCGGTACGATTACGGGTTGGGAGTTTGCCCTTAGCGGTCATATAGAGCCAGTCAGGCACGTTACTCCCTCCCAGAAGAACGACGGCGCCGAGTCAGTGCGGGTTGGCTGAGGAAGCGTTTTCCACTTCCCGCCGACCCGGCGAAAGGGGTTTTCCCATCTTCCTATCAGCTACTGTGTAAAAAGGGACATGAGGACTTGGCTAGAGAAGGAGCGGAATAAAATAGCGTGGCATTCCCAAAACCATGAACCATGAATCATCCCCCGGCTTACGACGTTTCTCCCCTACCAGGCGATTTACGCGTTACTTCAGCGCCACCCTATTTGGGGGGAAAGGGCAGGGGGATGAGTAATGGGCCTAACAATGGCTGGACCAGAGCTGGGCAGAGCTTGTATTAGGGCTCAGCTTGGGGAAACTTGGTGGAGGGAAAACAGAAGTGGTCGATCAGGGATGCGAGTCATTATGCCAAGCATGGACGCGTACGGAAAAAAGAGCAAAAGATCTCCAACGTTTGGGCTTGGTAGGCCCGATGGGATACCCGTTTTGGGCAGTCCCTGGGGGCCCTTACCTCTGATGCTGTTCGTTTTGATTTGTGCTACATACTATTCATGCTCTTCTCTTTACTGCTTTCTGCTTTCCGATGTGGGGAGAAGTTCCCAGTATTTCCAGTAGTTCTTTGGGCGCATCACGACTGGCGTAAACTCTAAAAGAAAAAGCGCTATTACTCAATACAGCCAAACCCCGGCAGACGTTATGCCCATTTGAGACGACCTCTCGGAATCTTCCATTGCTCTAAGGTTAATAATTTGCACTACGCACTGCAGAACTCAGCGGGAAACAATCCGTCAGCGTGTCGAGTCCACGGCGGTCGGCTCCCGCCCCGACGCTATTTCGCCAAGCCACCACGTACGGTCAGCCTATTCTCCCCGGGAAATGCCACAGCCGAATATCTAATGAGTGGTGTACGTAGTAGGTGAGTGAGCAGTAACAAACTTACAAGAGCGGATCATGGAGCGGACCTGATTCATAATTAGAGTCCGCACCGAAGAACACCATGACCCCCCAAGGAGATGCACAACATAGTAGACCGTAGGTAGAAATTGACGATTAAGCCCAGCGTTGAGTTCTCGTCTCCTCGCCCAGCCGTCAGCCTTACCCATTTAGCCCTATAACCGGATCATGGAATATCCTCATTGCCCCAGCCTGCCGGCGATCTGGTCCATGACCCAACGATGCCCAGTGAATAGGCGTTTCAGATGGGGACTTTGGAGCTGAATGTCTCTAATAAAAAGAATGCAAGTGCTTGATAGGGATGGGATATCGTTCATGACTTTTCCACTATAATCCTCGGGAGCGACGTTTGCCCGACCGACAGAGCATGCCTCCAACCTCTCGTCAGTCTAGAGTAAGCCATGTATTTAACAAACAATGACTTTTTGCTTTTCATGGCTTTTGATAGTCGCATGGGCTTGACTCTTTCGTCCAGAGCTCCGGGTCCGCTCGAGGGGGTCCTCCATCAGCGATTGCGACCAGCCTCTGTCCAGGATGAGTCGAAACTCTATCATTGTGCAATCCCTACAAGTGTCTCCATACTGAGCCACTACTCGGTGGATGCTTATCCATCTAGATCTAGGCCTGTTCCTGGCTGCGTCGGATAGAGTTCAGGGACAATCCTAGTAACCCCAGGTGGCTTGAAACTTGACGTTACCAGATGCTCGGCCAAGGTTTCCTTTCCCCATACACCTGTCATGTTCTTTTTCATCTACGGGAGTTCCAAAACGTCCGAGTGGTCGGTTCCAAGGGGTCTCTGTCTGTCTGAGAGCCATGGGAATATCGTGGTAGATATCATGTCCATTCAACCTTGAGACACCAGGACATGGGACATGGTTCTTCCATTGACACATCAACTAGACGAGGAACCCGACATGATCGTCAACTTGGCACCAGGGTCCCATTGCCATACATTGTAGGACTGGTACTTGACCGCTATGGTCATCCAATTTGCATTTTATTAGTGTGCAGTTGCGATGATCCTCGATAGCGAGAAATATTCATCATGAGATCTTCACACGTCTTATCTTGCACCTTGCATTATTCAATCGTACCATTGCTTTAGTTATGTTGTTCATGTTCCCGTCGGAAGCTCGGGAGTCGAGCTGCTTTGTTTTCACACAACCACTGGCTCAGTCTTCTCGTCCAAATGACCTTTTCCGTATCTTGATTCATCGCCCCCGTCAGAAACCACGTTGACGCCTTCGCCCGACAAGACGCCGCGTATGCCCTCCACGCTCTCGCCGGCAAAAAAGCCCTCCGAATCGGCCATGTACTCAAAAGTCATTTGCCCCTCGCTGGCCCGGTCCTCTGGGTAGATCGGGACGGGCCAGATCAGGTTTAACACGTAAAAGACCAACGATCCCATGAGGAAGGAAAGTATGAATCCAAGCTTGTACATATTCTTGCTGGCCTGGTTGACCGCAGTGGCGTCCAAGTTTCCGGCGATGCCGTGAACCGTAAAGGCGACGCCGGCCACCCACGCCGCCAGAGCTCGCGGGTTCCAGCCGTGGTAGTAGCGATAAATGGTCCCGGGCTCCTTGGTGTAGAGGCTGGGCACGTGGAAATTCCCGCGCCGCACGATCCAGTAGTCGACGACCATGACGCCGCAAATGGGCATGAGGAAGACCGTGTACGATCCCAAAAAGGTGAGAAACGTGCTCGCGCTGGCAATGATCTTCCACGGCACGCAAAAGGGCGCCAGCAGGGCGCAAATCACCTGGCCACGCACAATGTTGATGTACCGGGGCCACAAGCCGCTGCTGTCGGCGCCCACGGGCAGCGAGTTGGAGCCGGCGTTGGTGGCGATTTGCGCGAGCACCATGCCAAAGCCAACAAAGAAGATACCGGCCCGCGCGCCGGGAGACCAGTACTTTGTGAGGATGGCATCATACAAATCCCAGACGTTCTACATGCGAGGTAAACAGCATAATATTAGCTCTTTGCTTTCTCGGTCCGAGGATCTGGGGCAACTTTTGGACGAATGAAGAAGGGGGGGGCATGGTTTGCTTCAAGGGGGGCTTACCCAATATGACTTTCCTAGGAATCCTGTACTGGCACTGGTCGTAGCACAGCTCACAAACATGACGACAACCTTGGAGATTAGGATACCTGTGGCTTGACTCCAAGTCGCCTGCTCAGGTTTGGTTGCATAGCGGGCGACGTCGGGCTGGTTGATCAGGAGGGGGCAGAGGGTCGCCAACACCGAGTTGATGGCTTGGATCATTGGCCACTATTGAGCAAGTAAGAGACGTCAGCAAATCTCACAATAAAAGGTACACGGTGAATAACGGGGGGTTAAGGATTTCTGCTTACGACCAAAGCCGAGCCGGTCAACGCGGTGCCAGCACTGAAACTAAAGTTGCCAATGCCTCCACCGTTTTCTCGAATTGCCCATCCCATCTATTGTGCATTAGCCTCTTGATGTCTGTGCGATAGTCTGGGGGGACGACGCCTCGGGAAGTATAGTATTGCCTAGTGCTTTGTCCACCCTTGGACAACGCCACAGGCAAGACAAGTCTCGTACTAGTATACTGCGCAGGATAGTAAGGGCTCGTTTGATTACTCACTAAAAGGTCAAAGTTAGCAATCCAAATCTTGTGCTGACTACATCATCATCTTCGAAGGTGGTTATAGGCAGTTTTTAGGGTGCAATGATTGGAAGGCTACTTACCCAATGCAAAGAGTGCCACCGTCGTGTAGACGGCTTTGATAACAAACAGATGGCGGAGAAATGTAGGGTGGACAAACATGACGGGGAACTGGACAATCCAGAAGATAAAGAAACCAAGGAGGTTCTTGGAAGTAATGCCCGCGCTCTCGGGCAGAGTGTTGGGGATGTTCTCCCACGACGAGCCAAAGATGGCTCTCAAACACACCGAGGTAATTCTTCCTCCTATTGACATATCAGCATTGGATCCCCGAGACGAGATTCTCAGCATTTATCTCACCATAGTAGCTCTGAGTTGCAAAATAGATGATGGCGACCGAAGCTCTCACGGCCACAAAGAGTTTCGATCCTCCAATACCGGAACTAGCTCGAGCATATACCGGGAATCCAACATGATATCTGGTCGCGCCTCGAGAGTTTAGAATCACGACAATACTCAGACCTGCGGCGCCAATGACCGCGGCGATCATGGCATGATACCCTGTCGGGGTCCAAGTTAGCAATTGTATCGAAGAATACATCAATGAGGTTACTGTAGCTCCCTCAAGCACCCAAGATCGTGAGATCATTGATTCCAAATCAAGAGACAGCGTCAGGAATATGCTTACATTGAAGTCCTATGGAGATGAGCGTCGCTCCGAGATTGTACGACGATGAGCTGAAGGTCTGGGTCAAGTAATAGGCAAAGAAGTGCAACGTGTTCCAAATTCTCTTGTCTGGAGGTGTCGGTAGCAAGTCCTCATTGAAGTATGCCGACCCCTCAACGGGAGCATCAGGAACTCTGAGGGACTCCTTGAAGGCTTGTGGCGATGCGAAAGCCGCCTTCACCTTCCGTACAGGCGTGGCCATGGGGATTTCCTTTCTACTTTTTTTTCTCCCCCCAATTCCTGCTATATGCAAACAAAAGGTCTGGGTTGAATCTAAAAAGAAATCACAAGGCTGACGATTGTATTAGAAAGTCCAGGGGCGACGTGACTGAATAATGATGTCTCGATGCATCCCATCCCTCACTGCGGGGTATCAGCTACCTCTGCATGTTATTATATCATAATGGCAAATCAATAACTCAATGTCACCCTCAAGGCCATTATCTGAAAGTTTTGTAGCTAATCTTTGCCAAGGCAAGTTATAATTATTCAAATACCACCGACACTGATAGCAAATGCCTGAATGCTCCATTATTATGGTTGACCGTGTACGAGTCATACTGATTTTCCGGATCGGCTCACTGATAAGGAAGAACCAGGTCCTAGGACTGCGCCGCACGTCCAAGACGCTCATTGTTCCAAATTTCAAGTATACCGCCGTCGACGGGCTGGGGGAGTGGGACAGCTGCAACGGCACCCCGATGGAGCCTCCGATGCGATTTATACTGATCGGGATGTCGGAAGATCCGACGGATACCCGAAAGATCTCGGCTTTATACTTAGGTCCGAAGAGGTGCCGGATTCTTTTCCTTGCTAGGGGCAGTAAGAAAAAAAATAGAAAAGGTTTCCACTCTCGTGTCTCCACCACACAGAAAAACAAGTGGATTATGGCCACTATGGGTGCTCACGATTCGCTCAAACTTCCTTGGGCCTGTTGGCTATTAAGGTCCAAGCACTTTTGGCGAGCCTCGAGATGGCATCATCGGAACCGAGCCGGCTTCACGTCGGAGGCGAAAGGGGAAGAGGTTTTCAACCTGCATGGACAAAATTTTATTGTTCTTGATTTTGAAAGATATTCAGAATGCTGACGGTGAAAGCCAGCCCTTGAAATCAAAAGACTGCAAAGTCTTCAGATAAGATACGGGCCACGGCTTATGCCCAGTCCTGTGGGAAAACAATCTTCCTGAAATCCAGATTCTGGGCAGGTGAGAGCAAGAAAGACAAGAGAAGGAGAGAAAAATGTCAAGTCGACAACGAGAGGCCGAAAAGGGTCTACACGACCAGACGGAGATATTGCCCAAGGCAAAGCTTCTCATTGTGATTTCCGCTCTCTCGTTGACGCTTCTCATCACCTTTATTGACCAAAATGGCATCGGTGTCACGCTACCCACCATCGCCGAGGACCTCGACGCGGCCAATACCATTTCCTGGGCGGGCACGTCGTCCCTGATCGCCAACACGACGTTCCAGATGCTCTACGGCCGCCTGTCGGATATTTTCGGCCGCAAGGTCGTCTACCCTGTGTGCCGTGGGCCTGCTGTCCATTGCGGCGCTCCTGTGCGGTCTCTCCCGGAACGCCGCCATGTTCTACGTCTTTCGGGGCGTCGCGGGCATTGGCGGCGGCGGCGTCACCAACCTGTCCATGATTATCCTGTCCGACATTGTGACCCTGGAGCAGCGCGGCAAGTATCAGGGCATCATTGGCGCCTTTGTCGGGCTCGGCAACGTGTGCGGCCCCTTTCTCGCCGCCGGCTTCATCTCGCGGACCACGTGGCGCGCCTTCTTTTGGATGATCTCGCCCCTGGCGGCCCTCGTGGGCGCCGTGGCCTGGTGGTTGCTGCCCACCAAGGCCCCGGCGGCCGGGTTTCAGGAGAGCGTCAAGAAGATTGACTATGCTGGCGTCTTGACCTCGTCCATTGGCGTCATCTTTATCTTGATTCCAATCAGTGGCGGTGGCTCGTATTTTCCCTGGGAGTCCCCCCTGGTGATCAGCATGCTGACCATTGGCGGCTTGTCTTTTGTCCTTTTCATCTTGGTGGAGTGGAAGTTTGCCAAGCTCCCAATGATGCCGTGTAAGTCCCGGGAAACACACTGCAAACACATCAACCTTGCCGCGGAATGGAGAGCTAATTGCAGAGTGTAGTGATGATTTTCAAGAATCCAGTAATAAGGGTAATGCTTTGCCAGAGCTTCCTGTTTGGTGCCGTCTACCAATCCTACCTGTACTATCTACCCTTGTACTTTCAAAACGTCAAGGGATACTCTGTCATTGTTTCAGCCGCTTTTACCGCCTGCCTGGTTTCCTTCCAGGCCAGCTTTTCGATTCTTGCCGGACAGTATATCTCAAGAATGAAACGGTACGGAGAGATCATCTGGGTTGGCTTTGGATCCTGGACTCTCGGATCCGGGCTCATGCTTTACTACAAGCGTGACACGCCGCCGGGCCTGATTGTCATCCCTTTGATCTTTGTCGGCATCGGAGTGGGCTTCATCTTCCAGCCCACGCTGGTTGCGTTCCAGGCGCACGTACCCAAGTCCAAGCGGGCCGTCATTGTATCGAACCGAAACTTCTTCCGATGTGCGGGAGGCGCCTGCGGACTGGCCATTTCGGCCGCCGTCTTGCAAGCTGCGCTGCGGGCCAATTTGCCCGCCGAGTACAGCTATCTCGCCGAGGACACGTATTCGTTGCCGAAACTCGAAGGACCGGGCTACGACGCTGTCCTCGATGCTTACATGGCCGCCAGCCGTGCCGTGTTCATCTTGCAGGTGCCTCTGATTGGCACTTGTCTGCTTGGGTGTTTCTTTGTTCGCGACCGGGGATTGCAACCTCCAAAGGAGCCAGGTGAAGATAGCAGTGCTGATACATCCGCACAGGTCACTGTGCAACAGCAAGAACCGGACGCGGCCGCCGAGGAAGGAAAGGTTGCGCACGAACCGAAAGAAGCCTTTGTTGGTAAAGACATGTCCACGACCAAGATATGATTACCAAGACTTTATAGACTCTTTCTTTTCATTCTAGATGTTTACAGATCATATAGATTATAGATTCAGAGATGGATGACGAAGTAGAGATTATGACCCAGTTCAATTCATTATGTAGCAAGCACAGCGTGAAATTTATTTTATTTTGAAATGATCAAACTCTTTTCTTTTTTTTTTTGTGAGCAATAACTAGGAAAGAACAGAGGCGCTTGAATAGAACATCGAATCATGCAAATATCAAAACTCCCTGCCATTTTATCAAGAACGTGAATAGTTGTGCAAGCAATAGGCATCGGATGATGCGTCGGCTTGTCGGAGGTGAGGTCTTTAATCGGAGTAGACGGAGCCTCCGAAACCCCACCTCAGCCAGTGGTGCAAAGCAATATTTGGTACTATAAACGACTATTTGCTGTCATCTCTATAGTAGAGAGCCAATGATACGACCGAGAATACTATTATGCATTAAATCGACTGAGGACGACGGGTGACCTCTTCCACATCTCTCAGGTATTGGCGGAGAAATGCGGCCAGTTCCGAGAACGGAATCTATTCAGAGTACTCGATTTCAAGTGATTCGGGAGCGAGGCGAGGTTTTACTCATAAAAGGCCTCTGACCCCAGGCTGTGTCCTCATCCCGCTGCTCGGTTGCTTACTGCCATTATTCAAAAGTGTCATTTAGCGCCTGGTCACGTTTATTCATTCTCGTTCATCCAAGTTCTCATAATGGTGCATATTGAGGAAAGCCTACAAGTCCCTCGTGACTTTGAGGGTAAGCTAGCAACCAATCCCCCTGTGGCAAGTAGAGACGCAATTGATTAACAACTTCGGAAAGGATTTGGAGAAGAAGGATTCGACCCAAAATGGCCCAACGGCGCGAAGATTGCCGTCTCATTTGTCTTGAATTATGAGTACGTTGTCTCGTCATATGTGATGAATTAGCCGGACCATCCATGCTGACATGATCCATCTACAGGGAGGGTGGCGAGCGCTCCGTTCTCGATGGCGACGGCATGTCGGAGCCCTACCTCTGGGAGAAGGGCGCATCGGGGGGCTACCGGGAGAATGCGCGGTACATCAATGCCGAGCACGACTTTGAGTACGGGAGCCGAGCGGCGTCGTGGCGCATCATGCGGCTGTTTCGCGAGTTTGGGTGGAATTTCACCACCTATGCCGTCGCCGTGGCGCTGCAGCGGAACCCCAAATTTGCGCGCGCCCTCGTCCGCGACGGCCACGAGGTCGCTGCTCACGGTCTGCGCTGGATCGATACCTGGGACTACTCTCTCGAGGAGGACAAGGAGTACATTCGCAAGGCCATTTGTCTGATCAAGGAGGTCACGGGCGAGTTCCCAGTCGGCGCCTACTTTGGACGTGGAACCCCTCAGACGTGAGTTTTATGCCCACTCGTTATTGGTATCCTTTTTCTTCATTCTGTAAGCTGACATGAACAAAAACAACAACAGACACATGCTCTTTCCAGAGGTGTGGAAAAGTGTTGGCGCCGACTTCCTGTGGTCATCGGAGTGCTACAATGACGACGTGCCGTACTGGCTTGACCTGCCGCAAGAGAAGAATCTCCCAGACGAAGAGAAGAAGGGGATGCTCCTGATCCCGTACAACTACGACTGCAACGACGGCAAATTCCACATGTCGCCCGGTTTCGGAAGCTCAGTGGCCGAGACATACGAGCAGTACCTCAAGAACACGTTTGACTGCCTATATCGCGAGGGCGGCAAGCTCATGAACATTCCCCTGCACACGAGGATCATTGGCAAGCCCGGCCGATCAGAAGCACTTAGAAAGTTCATGCAATACATCTCGGAAAAGGAAGGGGTTTGGGTGACTACGAGGAGGGAGATTGCCAAGCATATGCACGAAAAGTTTCCATACAAACCCAATGGGGCGTGGATACCAGAGAATTGAAGCAAAAAGTCACGTATGTTTTTGTGATCTGATGCTGGAGATAGATAGAGATACTATGCTAGCCTAGGAGAAGTAGTGGATCATGATGCTATCTGACTAGGTACGCGTGTAATACTACTACTCCCCTACTCATATGATGATACGACTATCTAAGATCACCAACACAAGTTCTCTACTTTTTTTGACAATCCTTGTTGGCTCGAGATCATTCGAAAGAAGATCAACACTCAAAGTATCGTACAATGCAATGCAAACCTCTCTTATTTTGGCAAGGCTGGTTGGGTTGCTTGATGGATTGAGCGTAACGTCACGCCAGTAGTACCCAGGTAAGGTTTAAGTTACTGATAGGATCGGTCTGATCGGCAAAGTGCCCAAAAATGCCGGCAGGCAAAAGGAAGAGATAGTAGGTAGCTCGCAGATAACGCAGTCCAACCCCCAAACCTCCCCCCCAATGCTGGCTCTCCCCTCCCCGGCGCTCACCGGCGTAGTTGATTTGACTGATCTGACTGATTTGATTGCAGTGAAGCACTGCGATAGGTTGCACGTGTGTTACTGTGCATACTGATTGATAATGAGATTCTCATTCTCCTCCAACACGTACGTACAATCGTACAGATTTGACAGTTGTACGCGAGAAATCATCATGCAAGTGCTCCCTCCCTTTATCACGAGATATGACCCCGAAACAGGACGTCACATTTAATGTATTATCGGCAGTCTGGCCTGTCCTTTGCGGGGTGAGGGAAGAATGCCGGGGGGTCGGTAGTGGACTGGGATTCTGGAGCATCACCATTTTAGCAGCAAGGCATACATACACAGCAGTAGCAAATGCACATCAGTTTTTGACATCCCCAACCAATACTGGACGAAAATGAAAGGAACCCCTCTCATTAGTTCTACCACCAAAGGCACACCTACAGATGGACCATCCAACACCAAACACACACACACACACACACATACACACCCAAACGCGGGTCTCGCATCGGCAATGCTGCCGCTAACGGGTAGAAGCCTCCGACGGTCCATCGGTAGAGTCGGTGGGCCCGACCGAAAGTCCCAACGAGGGCGTGATGCGACAAAATGACTAAAACCATGGAACAGCATAACCAGGGCCCCCGATTGCGCCAGAGAGGGCGAACGCCATGGCAATATGTATTGTCGGACATCCGCTTCTCTCACGCTCTCTCTAGAATATGGAAGGCAAAGTAAAAGTCGATTGTTGCTATGACCAGTCTATTCCACGATCCCGCCGCCCCCCCGCTACCCTAATAAGACTATAGTCTAAAAAAAGAAGAACCAAGAAAGAGAGAAAGTGGAAGCTTATTAATAATATGTCTACTGTACGGCAAGGCCCGATGTTGTCACCGACAGCCACGGAAGCCCCTCCCCCAAACCCGAGAAAGAGAGGTCGGACTGCGTGTACAAGGTATGTAGGAATGATAGTCTATACATTTTTTTCGTATCTGGCTCGGATATGATACGTATATCTTCGGGCCCTTGGATCCAGAAAAACAACAAAACAGTCCAATCATTTTTCTTCATTTTCTTGCATATCTCAAAGCGCTGACGCTTGTTTGAATTATTTAGATGTAAAAACCGTAAACAAAAGGTATAATTGGTCGCCGCCCCACGTGTTTTTTGGTATTATTATAGTCTCCGCTGGGAGAGCCTTGGAAACTATACATATACTTATACGCATATCCGAACCACTATAGTGCGACGACCAGTGGCCTATATGCTCCAACTGTCGAAAGGCGGGAACGCCGTGCGACAAGACGGCCGTCACTGAGGATGAGCCGCCGGCAGCGTATGGACCACCTCCTCCACACGGAAACGCCCAGGGGCTCTGTAGCTGAACTGCGACCTAGGTACACACGCGCGCTCGAGGAGAGGGTCGCCTTTCTCGAGACAGCCCTGAACGAAATGGCCAGCGGCCAGCCCATGGACGAGCCGCCGCCAGCAAAGAGGCCGGCACTGTCGGCGCAGCACAATGCGCTCGGCGAGGTTGTCGAGCTGCTGTCCATGGGCAACTTTGAGGCACCCGCCTACATCGGGTCGTCCTCTGGCCTGAACCTCGCCCTGAACCTGGGCGAGATGGTGCAGGCTACCGTATGGAACAAGGCGCTCCCCATTCACAAAAACAGGAGGGAGAGTACGGCCAGTGCGTCGGACAAGGCGGGATCTCATGCCATAACGATGCAAGAATTGGTTGCCCATAGTGCCGAACCTCCGACTGACACACTTGGCCACAATATTTTGACAGCCTACTTTCACCAAATCCACCCGCGGTATCCCTTCTTGGACCCAGAAGAGGTCTGGGCATTGCACCGAGATAGGATGGTTCTGTCCTCGACGCCAGTACCGAATCTGACCAAGGCCCAACGCTTTGGTGTCTTTAAGCTATACATGGTATATGCCATTGGCGCCATGTTGCTTCAGTTGACAGAAAAACACACAACGTCGCCACCAGAAGTGAGTACCTAGCTGATTGCGACATGAGATTGCAAAGAAATGCAACTAACATACTTTATCAGAGTTATTACATGACCGCCTTACAACACACATTTGCTGCAAGGGAGTCACGTACTACGCAGAATATCGAAGCCATGACCCTGCTCGTCATATACCACCTACGCTCCCTGTCGAGTTTTGGTATATGGTACATGATAGGGCTGGCAATGAGGACGGGCATTGATCTGGGCCTGCACCGCAAGCAATCAGAGACTCACTTTGACCACGCCACGGTGCAAATGAGGCGGCGGCTCTTCTGGAGCGTCTACTCACTCGAACGCACCATTGCGATATCCATGGGGCGACCGTTTAGCATTCCCGACCGGGTCATTGACGTGGAGCTGCCCGACGACGAGCCGGCAGCCAACTCTCCTGCTTCCCCGGGCGGCGCCCCGGTCAAGCAAAACTCCATGACGTGCGCGCTGCTGCTCTTCAAGCTGCGGCGCATCGAGTCCAGGATCCAGCACTCCATCTACCGAGCCGACAAGCCGCTGTCGTCGCTCACGTCCAAGATGGACCGTTTCTACCAGGATCTCGAGGCGTGGAAGGTGGAATTGCTGGCGAGCCTGTCGGGGGCCGAGACAAACTATCCGCTCTTGCACTACCACCGGGCGCTCCGCCTGCTGGTGCAGCCGTTCCTGGCGCTGCTGCCGCCGACGGACCCGTACTACACGCTGTGCATGCGGGCGTCGGGCGACGTGTGCCAGGCGCACAAGAAGCTGCACCAGACGCTCGACTATGGGCACTCGTTTATCGCGGTGCAGACCGTCTTTGTATCGGGCATTACGCTGCTCTACGGGCTGTGGACGCAGCTGCACGCCGTGTGGTCCGTGACCTTGGCCAACGACATCCGGGCGTGCTCGCTGGTGCTCTTCGTCATGGGCGAGCGGGCGCCCTGGGTGCGCAAGTACCGCGACGCCTTTGAGCTCCTGGTCAATGCCACCATGGAGAAGCTCCAGAGCGGCGACGGGCGGCTGGCCGAGACGGCGGCGGCGCAGGTCAATGCGGCGAGCTCAAACAAGGTGTGGACGCCGACCGACGGCGCTTCCAAGCCATCCCCGGGCGGCGACCAGGAGGCATGGCGTGTGGTGGCCGAGTTGGCCAACTGGATAGATCAGGATGAAGGTTCGCCAGTGTGGATGCCAGACTTTGAGACTCTGCAGAGTCTAGGGCAATTGTAGGAGGACCCTTTTTTTACGCACGACTACCATTAACGCCTATTATTACCATTGTAGTCAATTGTAGCATATTGGAATAGTGTGAAATACTACTTTTGTCAGATTTGGAGAAAAACTAGTAGAAAGCGGTACATCATATATGGTAGTGGACGTCATCTCGGTGCGGACACCGAGGATTCGGAAATAAAATAGCAGTCGGGTTCCGGAGTCCGGAAGTATGGATGTACAACTCGGAGCCGCGTCTGCTAGAAAGTAGTGGTTAAACCCGAGGCATGACGGCTCATAACGGCTATACGGAATACCTACACCCTATTAGTCAAACACACCTCCATCTTGCTAATTGTAGAGACATTAATCAGCGGGCATCTTTTGATCTGATAAAAGGCGCCGAGAGTTCCCACACACACACACACACACACACACACACACACACTTACACACGTCTTACCTAGCTCACAAACCTTGCTGGGAAATTCTGGGCAAAGTCTGAGTCAAGAATGGGAATCTTTGGCCGGCACTGGGAAACCGACTAACCAAGAATTTGGAAGGCAAAAGGGAAACCTGGCTTATCAACTGCCCCTGGGGGCAATAAATCGCCCGAAGCGTCTTTGGTAGCATTGACTGCGGGTGTCAAGGTGTTCCCTTTTGGCACTTTCGCCTTACCAGGCGCCCGCTCAATGTTGCCGTGCCTGGTCGATCCCTTAATCGCCAAGTGACCCGCATTACCAAATCCAACTGTCATTCCCGTAATCCCGGATCCACGCAAAACGGCCCGCGTCTATTTTGGAAAGGAAAAGAGAGAGAGAAAAATAACCTTTTCTTCCTCAAACACGGAGAGACAGAAAAAGATAGGCAATCTAGTCCTTGTCTGATTCTTTGCTTACTGATGATTATTACACTTTGAAGCCACGCGAGAGCTGAACGAGCTACTCCAATTTGTCCAACGTTGAACAAGCTTTCGCTCATCGCCTCTATTTTAGTACCCGGGGATTTATCATAGGCACACGACACTACGGTTCTGCTTAGTCCCCAAGGTTTTCTTTGGTACGGAATTAGATGCTGCTATAATCCGGTGCCGATTGGAAAAAGAGCCGTGGCGCAACTCGCGCATATAAGTCCTCGAGATTTGGCGCAAATCCATCAATAGCCAGGAAGGAACTTTTTCGAGTCTCAAAAAGACTGCCCTCAAGAAGCAATGGCTTCGCAAGGTCTCTCAACAGATGCGACGGCCCAGCAGCCGGCAGACGACTCCATCACGACAACAACAACAGCACACAATGACATTGAGCCGAATTTGAGCAGATCGCCGTCAAGCACCGCAGAGACGCGAGTCACAGCAGGACACGGCGCAGACCGTCTGAGTTCAAAGGATGGCAATGATGGCGATGATAATGACTCAAATCGGGACGAGGACGAGGATGACCACAATCGTGATGAGCTCGGTGGCACGGCAACGCGAGTGACGTCTACGGTGTCGATTGCCGAGACGTTGCCTCTATATCGTGAACTTCTCTTTGTCACGGTAATCTGCCTGGCACAATTATTTACACGTACGTCTTTACCCCTTTCATTGACAATTTCTTACACGTAAAGTTTATTCTTGGAGAGCTAACATGAATGTTTTCTACCAGAGGCTGGACTGGGTCAGGCTATACCGATCCTCCACGTCATTGCCGACACTTTTGGTGTCACCAACACTGGTGATATTTCCTGGTACATTGCCGGTTATTCCTTGACTGTGGGAACTTTTATTCTGTTTGCCGGTAGACTGGGCGATACTTTTGGCTACAAGACCATGTTCCTGTTTGGCATGAGCTGGTTCTCCGTGTGGAGCATGGTGACCGGCCTCGCCGTTTACTCGAACCACGTGCTCTTCACCTTTGGCCGCGTCCTCCAGGGCATCGGACCCGCGCTCTGTCTGCCCAACGCCCTGGCCATCCTCGGCGCCACCTACGCCCCCGGACAGCGAAAGGCCATGGTCTTTGCCGCCTTTGCCGCGACGGCGCCCACCGGCTCCGTATTGGGGTCCGCCTTTGCCAGTCTGTTTGCGCTGACCTGGTGGCCGTGGGCCTGGTGGTGCTTTGCCATTGTACTCGCAGCCACCACTGTGCTCGGCTACTATGTGATTCCCGACTTGCCGCCTTCTCATATGCCGCCGACATGGCAGGCCAAGCTCGCCTTTCTCGACTTGCCCGGGGCCGTCACCGGTATCACGGGCCTCATCTTGTTCAACTTTGCCTGGAATCAGGCACCCATCGTGGGCTGGGACATGCCCTATGTCTACGTCACGCTTATCCTGGGAATCTTGTTTGTTGCCGCCTTCTTTTTCATTGAGATGAAATACGCAAAGGCCCCCCTCTTGCCCTTTGACGCCCTGACGGCCGACGTAGGCTTCGTCTTAGGCGCAGTCTCGTGTGGATGGGCCTGCTTCGGAATTTGGTTCTGGTACAGTAAGTACTTGCAATCTGTTGTGTTTTTATTTTCTGCATGTTTCACGAAAAGAATCTGCCTTTGAGTTTTTTTTTTTCCTCACTGGTCTTACATTTCGTCTCGGGGAATACCCACCTGTTATTTGGGGTTCGGGCACTCAGTGGAAATTTTTACACGATCAAGAAGAGAATGAGAAGCTAACACATGTCAACTCACCAGCGTGGCAATTCTTTGAGGAGATGCGAGGCGCGTCACCCCTGCTCGCGAGCGCCTGGATCAGTCCCGTCACCGTATCAGGTCTAGGCGCCGCCGTCTTTACCGGCCTCCTCATCCACAAGATCGGTCCGGCCTGGGTCATGACCATCGCCCTGTGCGCCTTCATGACGGGTACGGTCCTCATGGCCACGGCCCCTGTGGACCAGATCTATTGGTCGCAGACGTTTGTCTCGACCATCATCCAGCCCTGGGGCATGGACATGAGCTTCCCGGCGGGTACTTTGATCCTGTCCAACGCCGTGTCCAAGCGGCACCAGGGCATCGCCGCCAGCCTCGTCAACACCGTGGTCAACTACAGCATTGCCCTGGGTCTCGGGTTCGCCGGCACCGTCGAGATTAATGTCAACAATGGCGGCAAGACCAAGGAGGACGTGCTCAAGGGCTACCGGGGGGCATTTTACATGGGTATTGGCATCTGTGGTCTGGGCATTGCCATTTGTCTCGCATTTGTGTTCAAGTCTCATTTCATGAAGCGGTCTAAAACCAAAGACCAAGAAAAGGCTTAGATCATATAAAGATACTTACACAGCTTGGCTTTAGACTTGTGGCACACGCCAATCAAATAGGAAGGCTTCCATTTAATCCTTCATATATAGAAATGTTTAGAACTAGATAAATTACCATAATGAGATCAATTTTAAGCCTAGATCAAAGTGAGAGTATGATTCTGATGGAGACCAAATTTTCATAGACTGCCACTCTCTTTCGCCGAACCTCGCTCTACAAGGTGCACCAGGTGAATTAGCTCGTTCGCTCCGCAACACAGCTCAACAGGATGTGGCACGAGATCCTTCTCGTCCCTTGTTTTCTTCTCATTGCATCATTTGGACGGGATCCGAGTCATGCTATACCAATAGTATGCAATCTCATCATTAATATCTAGCTCGCTAATACAAACATTATACACCAAACCATGACATATGCTTAAAACAGACAATTATACAGGAAGTGTGTCCATCTTCCTAGTCAGCACCGAGAACGGGGATTTCTTCTCTGAAGACCCCTCGTGAATGCCTGGTTTCTTCTGGCACTCGGTGCAAGGGCAGCTAGGCGCGGCAACGCAGCGGCGGATACTCTTGCTATGGATACGCGTCTTTTGCGGGTCCAGGACGGTAATCAGGTCGACCAGGAGATGCTGCAGACGGCGCAGGCGGTAGCCCTCGGGGGCATCGGAGCCCTTTTCAACCAAGAGGCTGAGACCGTCGGTGATGGGCTTGAACCAGTAGCGCAGGCCGTCGTAGTGGGCGGCGCCGGCGCCGCTGGTGTTTGTGCTGGTGTTGAGGTCGGCGCCGCCCTCGGGGCCAATGGGGTTGTCGGCCTTCCAGGTCCGGGTGAACTCGTAAAAGCCAATGCAGAGCTTCTCGGCGCTGCCGCCGCTGCCGCCCTCGGCCATGAACTCGCCAATGGCCATTTGGTTGCCGCGCCAGAGGGTAAAGGCCGTGCCCTCCTCGGCATTGTTGTTGAGGAGCATGACGCCCTGGATCGAGTGCAGAATTTCAATAAACTTGGACAGGCGCTTGCTCTCCTCGAGCGAAAAGGGCAGGAGCTGGGTCTGGGTGCGCAGAATGTGCGTCCAGGCAAAGAACTGGCCCAGCACAAACGACGTGTAGATGTAGAGGGCGTCGTGGTGGTGCGGGCTCTTGCCGTGGAAGCTGAGCACGTCGGCGTGAAAGATGCCGCCAAGCCGCGATTGCAGGTCCTCGGCCGCAAAGAGCAGAGGATCGCGATATTTTTGCAAGAGGCGCTCGGCTTCGCGCCGGGCCTTGCGCTCCTGGGTCGAGTAGCTAAAGTAGGCACCGAGCCCGGCCACAATGACCGAGGCCACGAGCGAGATGACGGCGACGACGATGGATGCAAGGTCGACCGCCATATTGGGCAGTAACCTGGTGTGGTCGTTTTAGTGTTTGGAAAAGGGAAGAGGTTTCCTTTGAGATTAGTAGAAGGATCATATGACAGTCTCTGGGGAGATCTTTTGAATATAAATATATATGTACAATTTTTCCCTTTCCTACAGAAATTTAAATCGCACGACTCAAACTTCCCCCCCAACAAGCCCAAAGGGATCCATTGCGAAGTTGTATCCGTCTCAGCTGTGGTCAGGGGCCCAGAAGGAACACGGCGCAGTCCAATCACAAATAATTCTTGTTGCGGTTTTTGGAGTCCAACCAGGACCAACATGGGGCCCATGATGCCGGAAGCCAATCATACATAGAATCCCCCTTACCGCTTGGGCTGTATCGGGCCAAAAATAGCATAGTTGATCTTCAGCCTCCAGAATCCTGCAGGTAAGAAGTGGGGAGAGTGAGAAAGGAAAATGGTCTAAGACGACAGGCAAGGAAAGGAAAAGACGGCAAAAAAAGGGAAAATATTTCAATATAATTAACTTTAGGTGCATGATGAATTGGAAGGGGTCCTTGAGCCTCGTCGTCGTCGTATCCAGACTGGGCCAATTGCAAAGGACAATTGAGGTTGTACAACGTTTACCGTTGAGCCAATAAGCTTAATAAAATGCTCCACTTATGGCAGTGCGTTTGTGACCCCGTAGCTGCACAGCTGGCATAAACCCTGTACACTGTCTACAGAGTATATACAAATCGTCTGTATAATTTTCACAGGCCAGCAAAGCAATGGCCATTGTTTATATTTCGAGTCCTCAACTCTCTCGTCTCAGTTTTTATTCAACTTGAGAATCCGAAATCAGGAGACTGTTGCATACGAAGGAATGATGACGAGATGAGGACGCGGCCGCAATTCTGCAGGCTAGTGCAGGGCCAAGAATGCCCGATTGCTAACCTTGTGACATGCTAAACAGAAAACTTCGACAAAGCCAATGAGCAAATCCACTAATAGAAACGCATATGACCACATCACGCACTAGATTGAAAAACCAGGTAATCACTTGTTACCTATTAGCACACAAAGGTAGACTCCGTGCTGGCCGTTGGGGAAGAGTGATACTCGGTTGATGTTCACAATTCATCTATCGAATTGACAAACTGTTTAACCGCTGTGGATTGGCTTCAAGTACGAGTATTCCAGATATGCCACAAATAACGTCGAGTATAGCCGCCGAGAAGCTTGCCGCTAATAGTCGTTGCAATGAAAGGAGGCCCTCGGTTAATCGGTACCGGATAGCTGGGACCAATCCCCTCAGGCAAGCCTTAGCATGAGGTCTGATTGAACAGAATCTTGCATTCCAAGGCCCGGCCAGCTTTGTGTCAAGTGCCCAAAAATGCCAATCATCAATAATATTGGTAGAACTACTGGGTGTCTTTACTGCCGGCGAGTCCATTTATGTGATTGCCCCCTGGGCCCTGGGCAGTTTGAGATGAAACCAAAACCCCCTGCTACATAGTATGTATCCAGTGTAGATCTGAGACTGATCCACAGAATATAGTTTGTTGGCTTCTCTCGATGGGGGCAATGCTATCTAGGTAATGAATGTAGTTATACTATATCATACATAGGTATACAAGGCAATGCTTTATGCTGCACCATCAGCCCCAATAGTGGACATTGTCGAGATCGCTGCCGCAGCGATGCAGGTTCTGCCGCCATGCGACTTGGGACCTTGAACGCTAGACCTACTATGGGCAGCAGCCCACTAATGTACTATCGTGACTAGGCACCTAATAGGCACCCAACTCCAATGAACCATAAATTCAGTGGTCGCAGGGCTGTGTGAATCTTGCCTTTACTAGATCGGCTAGCAAGTCTGACCAGAACGTTCAAGCAGCCTTTTCCCACGCCAAGTATTGAATTAATCATGGTGCGCGAGATTGTGAGTACGAATGCCCGGATATAGCCACCATGTCCATCTGGAGAGCTCGGCTGACTTGCGAGAATTCATGTCTAGATTCACCTGTCAGTTGGGCAATGTGTGAGTCACTCCTGCCACAGATATATGGGGGTTTTGAAATGTTGAGTTCTCCCAGGGCAATCAGATTGGCTCGGCTTTCTGGTACGTTTGTCGTCGGGCATTCGTGAATATAGCTTATTGATTTGGTACTTGAATAGGGAAACAATTGCGAGAGAGCATGGACTTGACCAGAGTGGACATTACAGTGGCATAGACACAAATCAACATGAGAAGATTGATGTCTATTTTCAAGAGGTCAGAACATCTGCATTGTCCACGGTGCTCGATATAAACCCACATATGCTTATATAATTGTTAGCATCAAGATAGCAACTATACCCCTCGAGCCATTCTAGTCGACCAAGACCCGGACATTTTCAACGCAGTCTGCTCCGGATACGGCCAGATGTTTCGTCAAGACAACATTCTCTCAGGCAAATACAATGCAGGAGGCACTTGGTTCACAGAATGGCACGATGAAGATGCCAAATTAGTCGAACAAGTCCTTGAAAACGTCCGCCGAGAGGCAGAAAATTGTGATTGTTTCCAAGGTTTCCAACTTACCCACTCTGTGGCCGGTGGTGCTGGTGGCGGTATGGGGACAATTCTTCTTTCCAAGTTAAGGGAAGAATACCCGTAAGGAACTTTCCGCTTTTTTCTTTTCATCTGTCTCTAGTTCACTAACACATGGTATTATAGTGATCGAATGATGGCTACCTTTTCCACGATGCCATCGTTAAAGGTCTCCCAGGGACTAGTAGAACCGTATAATGCGGTGCTCGCGATTAGTCAGCTGATAGAAAACTGTGATGTGGTTTTCTGCCTCGACAATGAAGCGCTGTACGACATCTGCACCGAGAGATTGAAGATTGCTCAACCAGCCTATGCCAATCTGAACCATCTAGCATCAATGGTCATGTCTGATATATCGGCCTCTTTCAGATTTCCCGGACAACGAAACTCAGACCTTCGCAAAATGGCCATGAATCTCGTCACCATTCCGCGCCTACATTTCCTCAGTGTAGCATATGCGCCGCTGACCAATAGGCAGCCCGATGTTGGGTCATCTCACAAGTTGACGGCCTCGGGCTTGATCCAGCAGATGTTTAAACCAAAGAACCTCATGACAGCTTGTGACGTTGGTAACAGACACTATTTGGCATGTTCGGCAATTTTGTAAGTTCTTCACAAAGACCCATGGGTTTTTACATGGCTAGTCTCTAACAAACACACCACCAAAGTCGCGGTAGGGTTCCCATACAAGAAATTGAGGACCATGTCCGCTTCATTCGTGACGATAACTCGGAATGCTCCATGGAGCGGATACCGGATAATTTGCAGACCTCATACTGCTCACAGGCAACACAAGGGCTTGACCTGTCGGGCACACTGATTGAAAATTCAACGGCAATTCAGCATGTGTTCCAGCGCTTGAGTAAAGAGTTCACATGGCTCCTTTGCCGCAAGCAATACCTATTCCCGTACGAGATGAGAGGCCTGTATGAGTTTGAGTTCACCGAAGCAGTGTCCAACATGGACGATCTCGTCCTCGACTATCAATTGTACAATGCTCAATCATTGTGATGAGCGTACAACTCATTGTTGGTGATCACTCAAAGAGCAAGACTTGGCGAGGGGCACAATTCTCAGAGGCTAGAACCTGACAAAGAACATCATTCCAATGGCTCTGGGTACCTGAGATCATGCAATTATAGGGAGTGATGATAGCAGGATTCAAATAAAACGTTCCACCCAATGTCGATTCTGGTGTCAAATTGAACCAGAGTCGTATCAACCACATTTAACAAGCGCTGTAATCTTGGCAAAAGGCAGAGTCGGTAATCAGATCCACAGTGAGAAGGCGGGAAGCACTTCCAGGTTTAGTAAAGAATTGCCTGCCTGTCGCACTCAGCATTTCCCAACGCGGTGCAAAGCCGAATCATTTCACCAAACGGCATGACCTGTGATTGCTGTCGCAGCATTGCAGATTGCAATAACCACGTCCATGCCAACTTGGAACCTCGAAAGGGGAGGATTGCCCAGTTTAGGTTCAAGTGAGAAGAAAAAGGGAAGGGAACCCTGGGAAGGACTTTGCATATTATTGTCTCTCAGACTGGTAAGCGTCCAGTGCCGAACAGCCGGGAGCCGGGGCGGGCCAAAATGTCCGATCCATGTTGCAGTTCTTGTTCCCTGTCACACTCGAGAAATCCAGGCACGCAAAGTCTTGTTTCTTTCGTCCTTCTTGCTCATGTTTTTTCTATGCGTGACATGGCCATGATGGGGGGGGGGGGGGGGGGGGTCG